TCAGTTACGTATTGCTGAGTTAAATGGAGATTTGGGAAATCAACAGTTGGTACAGCAGATTTACGAGCATTTTTCCCCTTCAAACTGCTGAATAGAAGTCCGTTCATTGAATGTAAACTCATACAAGTTGTATTAAATAGGTTTAAAATCTTCCTTCGAACAGCAATTGCCCATTTTTAGCCTCTATCTTTTAAGAGGGAACCTAAAATAGAAATAATAGATTCAAATCTGTTTAAAAATATCAATGAGAATAATCACACCCATGAAATAACTCCTAATTACTAACTTTGAAAATGACAAGTCTTTTCAAATCACTAGAGTCTAGCAGCCAATTAAATAGCTCACAAATTACTCATTTTAAGTCTGTAATCACGCACAGTAGTACAAATAATTTTTAATTATTTTAAACTTTGAGAACGCAGAAGGCAGAACAACAAAAGCAAAACGTTAAACGACAAAATCGTAATTTAAAATGGCTTTGTAATCAATCTATATAACTATTGATAAAAAGATAGCAACACCATTTATTATGCCAAATTTTTCTAAACACGCTATCTCTGGTTATGCTTTACATTGGTTCATGTACACTGGTGAGCATTCCAGTTATCATATAGAGTTCAATGGTTGCTCTTGGCTCCTACTCATTTTCCGGATCTTATCACGAACTGACAAAAGATAAGCAAAACACATGTTCGATATCATTGTTGTGTAACTCGACCATCTAAATATAGTACTATTTACTGATATGTGATTAAAGAACTGCACAATGACTACAATAAGTACAATAGTAGGTGCAATCACGCCATAGTAGACCATTATAATTTATAATTTATGTCTAGTAGTGTCTACTGTCTACATTTGGCTCTGAGATCTATGAAGTATGAATCTTACAAGTGACGACAGTGGTCAGTTCCTCAGTTATATTATTAATAATCCCATGGCTATATTGTATTCAGAATTTCAAACGAGTTTGTTTCTACAATTATGTTTCCTTTGACAAAATATTTGACTTATAATTTGTTAATATGATGCAATTAGTTTCGTGCTCATTGTATGTTTTGTAACCATTGTTGTCTGACGAGCTGTTGACATTTTTATGCGATGGGTTTATTTGACTTCACTCATTCCTTCCAAGATATTATCTATAATTCGAATTTTCGACAATGGATAGTATCAACTTACCCGTTCATGGTGCTAACAGAAGTAAGTATCATAATATGACATACTCTATTATTCATTATCTTTTGTTTAAATATATCTATTCTCTAAAATGTTATACATTGATTTAATATATTATGATTGACCCTCCCATGTAATATATTACTCAGCACTTAATTTATATTGAAAATTACAAAGAAATACATTTTTATGATTATTGTAATTGTTATGCAAGTTGATAATGCAGCAGTCCATAACAATAGTCTTGAATTACATATTGTGTCACATTTTATAATTTTAAATTATGAGTGTTGTACTTATTTAAAATAATATTTTACTCTTTGTTTGATACATATTAAATAATATAATTTAGCAATATAGGTATTTAGTAAAATTTTAAAAATTAAATAATTGTATTTAATGTGTAGATAAATTCTCAACCAAAAATAAAAAAAATATAACAATTCATTTTGAAGTAGAAATACAAGCGTACTGGTGTTATAAATTAAATAAAAACCTAGCCTATAGTATAAACCTTTAATAACATATCTATATAGTTTTGTATGTATATTTTTCATTAATAATTTAGTGTTAAACTTTTAAATAGATATTTACCTATAACTTAATGCTAATTCAAATTTAACTTAAAAATATATAATTCTGTATACCTAATTATTTTGTTTTATTATTTATTTTTTTAAGAAAATGTTGATTATTGTTGGATGCATAATAGTATCAATATTATTAAGATTCGCCTTCTACAAATGGAAATCAAAATGTAAGTTACTCACTAAAAAAAGAACTAAAGAATTATTTAATCAATAACAATGTTTTTACATATATATTTATTTTTTAGTTCTCGTGATTCGAGGAAGTAACATTTCTGCTATTCCAAAAACAAGATTTCGAAAACGTGATAGAGTTTTATTCTACGGCAGAAAAATGCTGAGAAAGGTTTACTAATAACATATTTATTATTATGACTAAATTTAATTTAATTTATGGCACAATTGAAATATAAATTACTATAATTCATAATTTCAAATAATTATTACAATACTATTTAAATATACATAATACATATTTACTCTAAAAGTACTACTTAAACTGTGTACAACTTTTATCAAGAATACTTAAATTTTATTCTTCCAACAATAGTTTAATATGTTTATTATTTAACACATGTATAATTATTTTTAAGGTAAAAAGTATATCTGGACAAGTACATGGTCAGGGGAAAAAAAGAAAATTAGTGATCAAATTTGCTAGACGCTTATTACAAATGAAAAAAGAAACATTACCTCAAAGATTAAATGTATGTTTTTTTAATTTTTGTTGTATTCTGTTACAATAAATTAAATTTAAAATTATGGTATAGTTCTGTAATAGATATTATAAAGAAAATCATTAAATATACTTTTCAAGGTTTATTTATTTTAATGTACAGTTTCAAATTATTTTGTGTAATAGGTATTAGAACCACCAGCTGAGTATTTAGAAGAGGAATTAATAACAAAAGATGGGCAAAATGTTCCTCCTGATGCTTTTTATATGCTACAAAGTATTCGGTAAGTTAGATTTTTTTTATAGTCAATATGAACACTTTTCTTTTTAGATTTTTCCTACAATTTTTATTTGTTATTAACATGTATTGTATTTATTTTATTATTACAGAGTTTTTGGCCACTTTGAAAAACCCGTATTTTTAAGACTCTGTCGTCATACTGAAATTTTGAATATACATGCTGGATCACATTTGTTTAATGTTGGTGATCCTGATGAAAATGTATTCATTGTCCAAAGTGGACTTGTTAGTGTAAATATCACTTCAATTGATGGCAGTATTATTCCTCTGAAATTAGTAAAAACTGGAGATTGTGTTACATCATTATTAAGTTTTACTGATGTTCTCACCGTAAGTAACAATATTAGGTATATATTATTCTTAGAGGGCAGACCTGAGTTTTGATTTAAACTTGTCAATATTATGTATTATCCTACTTTAATGGTTCCCAACCTTTTTATTCTACAACCCTTTTGTAAATTTTTAAAAAACTTATACTCCCTCCTTAAATTAGAGTTTAGAAGACTTTTTTTTTGTATTAGTGATACAAAATAATTTTATATTACACAACTAATGACTTATTTATTTTTTACATAATTTTAAAAATTAAATAAAAATCAACTTAATAATAAATAATGTTATTTTTATAATTTTGAATGCATCAATCTAATATTTTTATATTAAATAAATTTAATTGTAAATTTGAGATTGTTTTTTTCTCACTAAGTCCACAATTCATGGAGATATTTTTGATAACAGCGCGTTAATCATTGTTTACGTCCATCTGATTTCTTTATTTTATTTTTATTTGCAAAAGTATGGAAAAGCTAGACTTACAAAAATGTTATCATCGCTATATCTCCCCTCCCCGTGCAGTATCTAAATTTCCTCAGTTGAGAACCTCTGTCCTACTATGGCCTAACTTATTACCATATAGTTGGTTATGCTCTAAACATTCACTTGGTATCTATGAGTGAAGACCTCGTATAAGGTCCAGAAATATTTTTTAAACTAACACCATACACTTAATGGGTCTGTTCTCTAATAAGATAAAATATAAACATTTATTTGTTTGATTCTATGAATAAATATGTAACTTAGGGTCATAAAAAGAATTATAAAACCGTTAGTGCTCAAGCACTTGAAGATAGTACAATAGTAAGATTGCCAGTTGCAGCATTTCAAGAAATCTTCCATGATTATCCGGATTCATTAGTTCAAATAATCCAAGTGGTTATGGTCCGTTTACAGAGAGTTACATTTACAGCTCTTCATCAGTACTTGGGACTATCTTCTGAATTAGTACAAAATGTAAGAATAAAAAATGGTTAAAATATTACATCAAAATGTATTTAATTTTAAATTCTAAGGAAATGGATGACCATATTAATTTTGAATTTTGTTAATAATGAGTGTTATTTTTAAATTATACCTAGTGATTACTTTAGTGAAAGTAATAGGGGTGAAATTTCCAATACTTTTCTAAATGATAATGGCAAAATAAAAATAAATTTATATCACTCGTTTTCAAAATCACAAATATTAACAATATATTCTTTATACTTTTATGTATAAAAAAAATAAATATGTATTTGTATTAGGGTTTAGAAGAAAGAAAAATGAGTCCTTTCATTTCAGAAACTAAAAATGAGTCTTCTATGTTTTTACAAAAAGGTATGTTTTAAATTAGTAATATTAATCAAATTTACTAACAAAACTTTTACATACTTAAATTTTACAAAAATGTATTTATCGTTTTAATTTACACAGAATCTTCTATAAATGATAAAAAGTTGGAATCATTTTCAAATCAGCCAAAAACTGATCAAAAAGATTGGTATCTCAAAATTGCAATGAATGTTTTCGTTAAAAAACTCCAACTTGATAATGAAGATTTATTACTGGGAAAAGTGGAAATTCGCAAAATTCCTACCAACACATATGTAATGCAAGAAGATTCTCATAAGGTATGATTTTTGTTGGTAATTTATCCATAAATTAAATAAGTGTTTTATCCAATAAAAAGAAAAAGAGTATTATATATTTAATATTTATAATAAAAATAATAAATATACTAATAAAAAGATAACAAAAAGCAATTTAAAATAGGCTTTTTAGTATTTGTTTACAAAAATAAACACCCCAATATTTTACAAATATTACCATATATTCAATTTTCTATTTATCCTATTTATTTTTCCTTTATTACTTTTTATTTTAATTTAAGAATATTTTTTACTTAGATATTCTATAATATAGATAATGTTTTAGGATGCTGCATTAGTTTTGTTGTTAAATGGTTCATTGATAGTATCACAAAAAATGGACTTAGAAGGATTAACTGAAGCTCATATGTATTCCGTTAACCCTGGCGATATTGTCGGTGGATTAGCTGTGTTAACTGGAGAACCTGGATTTCTGACGTTTAGAGCCGACCGTCCCAGTGTTATTTCTATATTATCTAGAAATACTGTTTATGAGTAAGTAATATTGATTATTATGCTATCAATAACTGTATTTCAATTATTTTGATACTTGAGGGGAAGAGGTGATAATAATTAGTGTTCTTTAATACTAATTACTGATTTTAAGTATATTTAGATTGATAGATTTTGGAAAAATATGTAATGAATGTTATGATCTAGCTCTTTGTACTATTAGACTTATGATAAAAAATAAATAATACACATATATATATATAAGTGTGTGTATTTATAAAGCTACGATAATTAAGGTTCAGAATATTTGTTGCTTTAAAAATTCTTTAAACTACTAACATATTCAGCTTAATATTTTTAATTTGAAAAAATTCTATAATAATGTATATAAAAATATGAAAAAATAACTTATCAAATGTATATTCAACAATTTGAGAAATCATATTTTGTATTTATATTTACTCTTTTGTTGATTTTTTCGATATTTTAATTTTGAAGTGTGTGATGAGTTTTATGAGTATAAATGTTGAAAAAAAATCAAGAAAATAGCAGGGTTAATCGTTATTAATAAAGAAACTTCTTGTAAACTCTGAAGTAGTTCTAATTTATTTTGTGAAATATTTATAAAAATAAAAATGCTTATTATAATAAATAAACGATAATATATTTTTAAATATGCATTCTTCCCAAACATGGCAAATAATTCATTTAAATTTTGTATCTAATTTTGTCATTTCCAAAAACCAATTTATTACTTATAATAATCTATGTTCACCAAAGAAAAATATACAAATGTAATGAGTCCTGAACCCTAGTTATAATATATTCATCACTTAAACTATCAAAATATAAATAAATCTTAAAATAATTTATTAAAACAGTTTTTATAACAATTATTATCTATTACATGCTATTAAATGATTTTTTAACAGGATAATGAGAGTAAAACCACAAATTGTTTTGCCTATAGCAAATACAGTGGTTACACGGTTATCTTCATTTGTACGTCAAGTTGATTTTGCATTGGATTGGTTGTTTATTGAAAGTGGACGTGCGGTTTATAGGCAAGTTAAAAATAATTTCTTTATTTTTATAAAAATAGATAACAGACTTTTTATTTTTCCTTAAATATGATTTACTTGTTTATGAAAATTAATTTTATTCATTAAAAGATGCTTTCATACAGTATAGTGTAGTTTTAGTTGAGATAAATTCTAATATTTGTTTATTATAATCTATTGATTGTACACCTATAAACATGATTCAGCATAATGTGAAATATTTTTTTTTAATTTTTATACTTAAGAGAATGTTAACCTTACATGTGTGGGTTTTATCAGAAATAATTTTCTGTTAATTTAAATATTAAATAGAATTGAATATAATTAAAGTTAATTGCTGTGTTTTGAAAAACTATAGTACATTACTATTTGAGAAATTTTGCATTAAATTTTGCTATTTTGTACCTTACACATATCAAAATATTATGTAGTTTATATTTATATAAAAATATTTAACTATAAAAAATGGATTTCTTAAAAAGCCTATTAACTTTATCAATTAATTTAAATATAATTCACTGTCACAATATTTTTTATTGTATCCTATATTCACTATATATGCTAAGAAAACAATCAAATTAATAATTAATATAAAATTGTATTTTATGTATTTGTTTATTTATTTATTGCAGACAAGGTGAAGAATCAGATAGTACATTTATTGTATTGAGCGGCCGGTTGCGTTCCGTTATCACACATGAAAATGGTAAAAAAGAGTTGGTTGCTGAATATGGAAAAGGAGATTTTGTAGGAATTGTGAGTTTCCAATTAAAAAATATTTTTTTGATATTGAACATTATAACAAAAGCTAAAATGCAAATTATTCTACCTTTAATAACAAAATAAAATAAAAATCTATAATAATAGTCATTTTTAAGATGCTAAGTATATATTTTTATAGTATATCAAGTGCCGTTAGATTCAAGTTGATTTTGGGAACTTTTTTATTATTATTGTTGTGTGTTATAATTTTGGGATAAAGCCTAAAATTCAAAATATAAAAAAATATTTTATAAATTAATTTATCACTTGTAAATAGACTGTGTATTAATTTAGTAGGTATCAAAAATACTTATTATAAAAAATATAAATTAAACTAATTTTAAATAATTTATATTGCATATGAGTGTTTTAAAAACAGATTTATTCTTAAAAATTATTATTCTTAAAAATTATTATTATTATCATGTTTTATTATAATAATTATATTTATTTAGGTAGAAGTAATAACGCAAACACCTAGAGGAACGACAGTTATGGCAGTTAGAGATTCAGAACTAGCCAAATTACCAGAAGGATTATTTAATGCAATTAAAAAACGTTTTCCTGGAGTTGTTTCTACTCTTATTAATCTTTTGGGGCATAGGATTTTAGGTAATTTAAATAAATATACATTTTGTATATATATTTTTTGATCTGGAGTATTATTATAAATTATAAAAATTTGTCCTTTTTGTAGTAAATATAAATCAATAACTCATGTTATATTTAAAAATAAGATTATTAAATTTTTGTTGATATTTAAATTATTAAATTTTAGGCACTTGGCAAAAACCTACAATTAGTAAAACAATAGATACAAGACCAACACAAAGTAATTTTTCAACTATTGCTATTGTGCCTATATCAGATGATGTACCACTAACAAGCTTTACATATGAACTTTACCACTCATTATGTTCTATTCGATCAACTTTACGGTTAACTTCTGAATTTGTTAGAAGTGTATTAGGAAAATCAATAATGGATTTGAATAATGAGTACCGCTTGACAACATGGTTAGCCCAGCAAGAAGACCAATATAAAATTGCGCTTTATCAATGTGATTATTCATTTTCTTCCTGGACTCAGCGCTGCATACGACAAGCAGATTGTATATTACTTGTTGCGCTAGGAAATAAACAACCTACATTAGGAAAAGTAAGTTCACACATTTAACTTTTTTTTAGATTTCACAATAATTATAAATTTAAAGGTTATTTATTAACTGTTAATAAATTTTACTTTTTTTTTTTTATTGTTAATATTTTAAACTAATATAGTAATATTTATAAGTTTTATTAATAAAAAATAAATACTTTTTTTAATAGTATGAGAAAGATATTGAACGCCTAGCACTACGTACCCATAAAGAATTAATTTTGATACACAGAGAAGATTCAGATTTACCATCTAATACAGTTGAATGGTTAAATATAAGATCGTGGGTATCTTCGCATCACCATGTACAGTGTCCTAAACGTATATTTTCTAAACGTTCTGTTTCAGTAATTGTAAGTGTTTTAATATTAATAATCTAGTATCCAAATTTTAGAAATTCAGTGCATGCAATAATTTTCATTTGCCTTTAATATAATTCTTATATTATTATAATATAATAATATTATATAATTTTGATTACCTTTAAAATTATAGAATTATGTTCATTATTAAATTACAAAAGTAAAAACAGTAGAATAGGCTTTATTTGGGTTGCGATTTTAAATTATGCAGTAGGTTATCAAAAAGTACAATTAACGTAACAAATATTGGATAAACGTATAGAATAAAAAAAATCACTATCAATTTATTTTAGATTTGGTATAATTTTAATAGCATTATATATTCTAATAATTTCATCTTATAATTCTATACACAAAATCAAAATAATAAGTAGTTGTTAATCCAAAAAGTTATCTCTTCATTGCTACTATACATAAGATAGTCAAAACTTTACATTAGACAATATAAGATCATTGATAATAAATAATAATTTTTAGGACATAAAGTACTAAGTACTTATTAATATACTAAATAAATAATAACATAATTTTTTTTGCTTAATAATATGTTATATAAAAAGTATAATAACATCTATGAAAGTAGCAGATCTTTGTATTATGCTAAATTTCCTCATTGTCATTTTATCATCCTTTATGTGTTGTTTCCAACTATACACAACATACTAAAAATTACATTCAGTAATTATTCTAATTTAGTATTTAATATTAGAATTAATTGACCTGTAATCAAACTTTAAGTTAAGAACATTAATATTTTCTCTTTGGATTTTATAATGCTTAAATTGTTAAGCAAGTTATGTAAGTGAATATATAAAATATTAAAACTCAGAAATTTTCTTAATTCTTTTAAAAACTGAATTATTGTAAATAACTAATGAGAGAACACAGATAATGTTCTTACCTTTAAGTTTGATGTTAAAGTCTATTCACTTTAATATTTAATCTAACAACACAACATTTGAAATGATTAATGCAAATTTGTTATATCTATTGTTCATGTTTAAGACAGAAATAGTCTATGGAAGTGTAACGTCTTCATAGAATTTTATTTTTAAAATAGATTAAAATTTGTAAAAAAAGTTAAATTTTATAGCTATAAATTAATTTCAAATTCTAAACAGAGCTATTAATCTGATTTCTCTGATTTGGGGCGATGAATTTTTTAATTGTACAATATGTTCTTTTTTTGTCTATCGCCATTTTATAGAATATTAAAAATGCTATAATTTTCAACTTTGAGAGAGCTTTCTTGTTGTGTAATGGATCTAAGAGTAAAACAAGAATTTTAATGCAAAACTAGTTTATATAATATAATTATAATTATACTAAATTTGATTAATAATTTATACATTTTAAATCATGATTTTTATAAAAAATTAATAAATAAATAACATAAAACATATTAATAAATAGCGTGATCAATATGAAAAAATATTACAAACAGAAGTCAACATACATTCAGATTATTCTCGTTTAGCCAGATGGTTAACTGGGACTTCTGTGGGTCTGGTATTAGGTGGCGGTGGAGCAAGAGGTGCTGCTCATATAGGAATGATAAAAGCTATACAAGTATGTTGTTATTTTATTTTTTATTTTTCTATTTAAGATTTTATTAAGTAATAAAATGTTATATTTAAATTTTTTGTTCATCAGGAAGCTGGTATTCCTATAGACATGGTTGGTGGTGTGAGTATTGGTGCTTTTATGGGAGCTGTGTGGTGTAGTGAAAGAGATATTATTGGAATGACACGTAAAGCAAGCTCTTGGGCTGAGGTATTCAAAAAATATTTTTATGTTTTAATTAAATTTGAATAATATTATTATTCTTTGAATAAATTATATAAAAATTAATGAAATAACTCATAATTATGCATTAAAAATGTAATAATAAATTTAAAATTATTTTTTATAGTCAATGACAAATCGGTGGCGACAAGTATTAGATTTGACTTGGCCATCTACATCTATGTTAACCGGTCAATATTTTAATCATACATTGATTTCTGCTCTTGGAGAAACACAAATTGAAGACTTGTGGTTACCTTATTTTACAATAACTACAGATATATCAGCTAGTAAAATGCGAATTCATACACACGGTATAATTAATTTTTCATTAAACATTATATTATGCATATGAGATATGAATTATAAATTTTTATTGATAATAATTACAATGATTATTGTATATAATGTGTATTAAACATAATTATTTGAGATTATTTAAACAAAATTAAGTATTAATACTTTTATGCATTTTTTTAAATATTCTTTTAACACATTATGTATATAATTATTAATAAGTACTGTTTATCAGTTTAAAAATTATATAAATATATATTAATTTTCAATTTTACTATACACTGAATTTAAAATGTGTTAATAAAATAGTTCTTATTTTTATAATTTAAAGTATTAATTTAAAAACATTTATTGTTTTTTTTTTTTTTGTTATGCGGATTCTTAATTTAATCTTTATCTCATACATCATAATCTATTTACTTAGTGACTTTTAAAACTATAGATATTTAATCAATAAATATTTACATTTTGATAGTGATACTTATAATAGTTATTACAAATTTGGTCACGTACACTTATAATCAATTATTATTGACATTCAATAGTGTTTGTAAATAAACTGAATATTTTCAAGGGAATTTAACTTTAATTAATAAATATAAATGATTTTAAACCTAGATTAACACATAAATGTTTATCGCACATACATATTTACAATGACTATATATTTTATTATTCTTCAATAAAATAAATTATTTTTTAATGATATTTGTAAATGATTAAAATAAATTAAGTAAATAATTATCGAATAATTTATACAAAGTTTTATTGGGTTATGGTTATTTAATTTTTATTTTTAATTAAAACAAATTTTTTTTAGAAATAATTAGTTTTAATGTGAATAAGTGGTTTTATATTCTAGGATCATTGTGGCGTTATGTTCGGTCATCAATGTCTCTATCCGGTTACATGCCACCTTTATGCGATCCAATTGATGGACACTTATTATTAGATGGTGGATACATAAATAATTTACCAGGTATATTAACCACAAGCTTTTCATAAAAAAATTATTTAAATATTTGATTTTAGTTAATTTAAAGATTATATATGGTGTAAAGCTTAAAATATATTTTTTAGTTATAACATTTATGTTATTTAGCATGAAATTAAAGTATATTAATTTCCTGCCAACATTTCTAAAATGTAGTAATTACTTATTTGATATTGGAGAAATGTATGTGCAATAGACATTTATGGTTAAACATTTTTCTTAGCTAGGATGACCTTAATTAGTGTATGGTAAATAGGTTATGTTTGGAGGTACGTGAGAGCAAGTATGTCAATTGCTGGTTTATTTCCTCCCATGTGTAATCCCGACGATGGACATTTACTTGCTGATGGCTGCTATGTAAACAATGTTCCAGGTAATTATTTGATAATATAACGTAAAGTATCAACTATGTTAATTGATATTTCTAAAAATAATTGGATTGATGTATTTTGAAAAAAAAGGTATGAAAATAGTCTCCACTCCTCAGATACTTTAGACTTTGTATATTATTCGATTGCACCAATATATTCTTGAAGTATTAATTTAATTGCACATACATACTCCAATAATCAAAATAATATCTAATAATGTAGTACTATTATTATTTTATAATATTTAATTAAATATATTTTGACAAGCAATTTAAGGAAAATATTGAACTAAAAAATTATTGTAATACTATTAGTCATAAATCATAATATTAAATGTTAATTGCCAGTTGATTAAAATGTTCTATAATTTAGCTGACATTATGCGTAACCTTGGAGCAAAACATGTTCTCGCTATTGATGTCGGATCTCAAGATGATATGGATTTTACCAATTATGGAGATAGTTTGTCTGGATTTTGGTTATTATGGAAACGATTTAATCCTTTTACTGCATCAGTTAAAGTTCCAAATCTGGAAGATATACAATCTAGACTGGCATATGTCTCTTGTGTTCGTCAACTTGAGGTAAAACTGTTCTGTTTTATCTTTATAAATGTTTTGTCATAATTGTTAATAATTTTTTATTTTTTTTTTAATTAAAGGTGGTAAAAACAAGTGATTATTGTCAATATATAAGGCCTCCTATTGACAAGTATAAAACACTTCAATTCAAAAGTTTTGAAGAAATAAAAGTAATTTCGATGTTACAAATCAAATAATAATTATTCAATGACAGAAAGTTCAAGTGATGTAACCTATAAAAATAAAATTTTTATGAGTGATTATAATGTTTATACTTTCGTTAAAAATGATTTAAAACTTATGTTACTTAGAAAAAATATGTATATTATTATTATTTTTTTTACCACTTGTCAGTTGAAATCGCTTTTTCTTTATAGTATAGGTTATATTTATTGGCCTTTCTACCTTAAATGTGTAAGATCATTGATTAATATAATACTTTAAACCATTGATCTTAAACTATTTATCTTCAAATTTTTATGATTTGGTGTTATATGTGTAATAATTATAATTAGTTAAATGTATTAAATGATAAAAGTACACATTGTTTTATTTATTTTCTAGGAAGTAGGATATCAACACGGTAAGACATATTTTGCTGGCTTGAAGTTAGCTGGAAAAATTCCATTTGGAAAACAAGAATCTTTGATGTCGCACATTAAAACTGACTAACCCCTGTTTCTAGGTATTATTCAAACAATTCATTTTAGTTACCAATTTTTTAAAATTAACTATGTTTTTATCGTCAATTTATATCTATTTGTATAATATTAATGTACATTATATAATTAATGAATCAAAAATATTTTTGTTTCCAGAAAATCAAAAAAAGTATAAAAAATTATAAGTGATAAATTATTGTGATACAAAAATTAACCTTATTTCACCTATACTTACAATGTAACATGTAATTTAGATATTAATATTGTATATAATTTAGATGTTAATATTGTATATAATTATTTCATATTATCTATAAAAGTTTTGTATGTCAATGAAACTTGAAAAAAAATAATATTTTTAATTTATCAATATAAGGTATCTTATATCTTTATTTTTCTTACTTCAAATTTTAAGCTTTTATAGTTTTATTGTTAAAAATACTTTGTACTTGTGTTTTTTTTTATACATTTTTATAAACTGTAATAGTTATGAGATTGATAAAATGCTTTATTTTGGTATTAGCATTTAAGATTAAAATCAAAAGTTTTAAAAAAAGAAAAATATTTTATAACTTTTCAAAATGTAATAAATACAGTTATTTTAAATGTTTAAAAACTAGAATTTAAAAAAATTTAATTTGGTGTACTTGTTGTTTTCATTTGTACACCTATTTTATCAGTAAATTTATATATTATTGAAAACATTACATACTGAATAGTAATGACTTTAAATTACATAAAAGTATATATGTATTTTCATCAACACATTAATATACCCATAAAATGGATGTAATTGTACAAATATGATAGCGTTCTATATAAAATGCTTTTATAGTAGTCATCAAATGTTACCCCATTCACAATTTAAAAATATTTAAGTAATACATTTTCTATGTTATTCCTAGTAATTTATATAATTTGAAAAGTACTCATTAGAATTGATATGTTACAATATGTTTACACCTTTTCTTGCTTCAAAGTGGCGTTATCAAAACAATTATGTTACTTATAGGGCATAAGGACAAAGAAGATTGTCGTCTGAACCTAAATATTTAAATGTAACAATATCAATAAATATTACAACATTCAAAAACTTAAAACCTTGTAAAGTATATCTACAGTTGTCGATAATATTTGCTACAATACAATTTTAAAATAAATGGAAAAAACTCTAATTTGGGGCGAACACAGGTTTATTTGGAATCATAGTAGTTAATCTTCAAAATAATTTTAAAAAAACAGAAATTTTCTCCAAATGTTTATATTAGTATTTTCTATAAGTGAATGAGAAAATATTTAACTCTCATTGCACTATATAATAAAATATTTATAAACATTGGATATTATTTTCAATTTTTTTGTTTATAATTATTGTTAAAAAAAATTTTTTGCCGATCAAAAAGCTTGAAAACCGAGTTCAAGGTTTCTCATAAGTACCTACTTCTTACTTAACCTACATAATCAACAATTTTTTTTAAACCATTTGAAATTTAATTTTAGACAAAAATTAATACTGATATTAGTAATTTTTTTTGTAATTTAGAAATAGGAATATTATTCGTGGATACTAAATATTATTATATTTTGTACACCCAATGATATTTTCAAATATCACGTTTTTGGAAAAATTTGATTCAACCTATTAATATTACCTCCTAATAGTAAAATAAATAAATTGATAAATTATAATAATATTTTTATAATAAATAGGTACCTATCTATATAAATATAATTAGTAGTATAATACATATTGTTTGTATGACTATATAGGTAATGTGATAGACTAAGAGGCCATTTTACTCAAAATTGCTTTTGGTATGTAATACATTATTACATTATAGTTATTGCTAATAATTCAACATAGAACTAAAATTTAACTCAAACATTATAATAACGTACTCAAAAAACGAGGTATACTAAGGAGGTATCTTTTACTGTACAGCAGAGCGATACCTACCTACATAGTATATTCCCCCTTTATAATCTTGAACATTTTAACCGTCTGTTTATTGTTCATACTAAAAATACTTATTTATTAATAAATTATTACACCTTTATGACCATTAAAATGTAGTTTACTATTACAACGAATTATTTATTCATTGCAGTATTGTGAATGAATGAATGATTCAACAAGATAAGAACTTTGTAAGATCATATGTCGACATGTCAAGATTGAAAATTAAAAACGTTGCATATATTTTCCAAAATAACGTTATTGTATAATACTATATATTACAAATGAATAATTTATAGTAATTACATTGTCATGTAAATCCGTATGGCATTGATACTATGGCTACTACTATACACGTTTACGATCTACACAGGCCAAGGCCGCGATCAGTAAACGCCAGACATCACTTCATCAAAATTCAGATATAGACAGTCGTCAGCAAGGCTAAGACCAATAATTAGACCACCGAGAAAAGTATAATCATTAGAAGACGTGGCACCTGGCGCTATAAGTACTAATAACACTATGCTACTACGCGACACTATAATATAGCGCATTGTCAATTATTATTTAATATTTACTAAATAGCCTATTAGTTACTATTTTTTTATAGTAGTAACTTTAAACTTACTACTGTAGACAGTGTAGACGTAAAGGTGGAGGCGTAAATGCGTATTACATTCTGTAGTCTATACTCGGTGTACACTGTACTCTGTACTCTGTAGTGTTGAGTTTATTGTTTAACGTTTAATAATATGAATTGTGAATTGCGATTTATATGAGGCATAAGCAGCTGCTGACGTATCAACACTATCAACGACCGTTCTTCTTTTTGGAGTTTGGACGTTTTGTTATCTAGCTTTGTAGTTATCACGACATTTACAACTCCCGAGCCAATTTGATCGTTTTATCCATGGAATAACGCGCTCGTCCAACCGTCCGTTCCATGGTTAACCTCATGTTTTTCTGGTCGGCACTCGCACGATTATTATTATTATTGCGTTGGGACCGTGTGCTATTGCTGAAACTTGTAAGCGGGCGATACCACTCGCTACTACGAAAGTACGAATTCTCGTTCGTTACTCAATACTCAATAGTTTCTACTACTGGTGGTGGATTTCAACGTTAACTCATACATTCTGCAGGCCGCTTGTCTGCTGTTTTTTTTTTGTTGTCTACGAGACGTACGGTCATCAAATCGCCGGCGCCCAGTTGTGTCAGTGTGTGACATCGCGTTTGTTTGATATTTTTCTACCGCTCCAAACCGTACCGCGTGATCATGGCCGGCAGGAGTGCATTCAGTGACTTCGACAGCAGCAGGTATATGACTATCTTATTACCAAAAGTACGAACACGGCGTTCAACGCCCGCCCTTTAATCATTTACTGTCATCGTTCGTTGTACAGTTTTCCCCTCTGAACGTTGCGTATCGTTTCGAGTGGCCGCAGAATAGGTTTCGACGTCTTACTCGGTGGTTGGCAACCGTCGTCTAGTTTTTCAGTTTTTGTCCGGTTAGCTTCCAAAAAATAGTTATACATAAACTGTACTGCTGACCGTTGCGTAGGGTCCCAGTGATTCACCTAAACGTTTAAATACTCTAAAACTTTGACATACAATTTCCAACCATTTGATATGTTTATCAATAACATTCATTTGGTTATGTTAAACCACTTTGATTTTATAGGAATAAATTATTTTTTACTATGTAAAATTTTATTACAACACATGCTTTTCATAAAAAGCCACATTCAGCTTACTGTAGAACTGGATAATAAATATATTAAATTGTAAATGATATTGAGCTTATTGTTATAACTAAACAATTTAAAAATGCTGATAAAACTTTAAAATGCTTACATAGTAGTCGTTTATGAGTGTAATTTAAATCTTAAGATAACATAATAATATTTTATTATCATCTGTATTTAAAAAAAAAAATTCTTAATATAGCTTGAAATTAATAAAAAAGTCAGAGTTAAGCTGTAGGTAATACATTTATACCAATTCTATGATATTGTCTACTTATTATCAACTAAGTACCTATGTAGCTTTGTTTCCTTTGGTATTATCTAATTTAGGAATATTTGGGAAAGAATTGTAGGTATTTCTATACTACCACACCAATATCTTGCTATGCTATTAACTGTATTTAAACATTTTACTGTTGAATAGGTATTTACAATAAACTGTATTTACATTATTTAATTTCAAGCATTAATTTTATGTACATACCTATTAATAATTTATTTTTGTTTTTACTTTAGTTTCAACAAACCATTACCCAGTAGTCCACCATATGTGGCTTATCTGGGAAATCTACCGCAAAGAATAACACAAGGAGATCTTGAAGATCTATTTATTCAAAATAATGTATTGCTTTTCTTTAACAAGTATTAAAAGTTTTAACTAGTGGACAAGATGAGTATTTTGTGTCTACCACTATCCTAAAAAATACTCAACTAGTTAACTATGTTAAATTATGTTACTAAGTACTTATCTATTATTAAATAATAAATTATTGTTATTTTAGTTGCAAATTAGAAGTGTGCGATTGGTTCATGATAAAGAGACTGATATATTCAAAGGTTTTGGCTATGTTGAATTTGTCACTTTAGAACAGCTGAAAGATGCTCTTCAAATGGACGTCTTTATTGAAGGACAAAAAATCAAAATAGATGTTGCATCTGGAAAACGAAATGAAAGAGCAGGTTTTGATAGAGGCGGAAGAGGTGGTAGAGGTAATTATTTCTGCTTATATATTAAATATTTCAAAAAATCTTTTAAACATTTGTGTTGAATGTTTTCTAATATAGTTATTTATTTGGTATATGAAAAGACAGAAGTATGTTTTTAATAACTTTTTATATATATATATATATATATATAAACTATATAATATTTATACAAACTAATGCATTTTTTTGTCAAGAAAAAAATGATTAAATATATCTTATCTAATAATCTATATTTTCTTAATATACTTAAATATATATAAAAATTAAGAATTCACCTCTTTAATTTTTTTTTTTTAATGTATAACCTTAATGTAGGTATTTGAGCAAATTTTCATATTAAAAATAAAATAATTTGTCTTATACATACCTATATATATTTGTGTTTATGTGGTAAAATTGCTGTAAGTGCTACATTTGTTATGAAATAAAGATACAACTTAAATAATACTGGATTATATTAATCGGATTACTTTTTATGATTAATAAGTATATCTTGATGACAATCATAATATAATCATATATGTAGTATAGGGAACAATAAATTTCTATTTATATACAATTGCATGTATCAGAAAACTGATGACATTACTATGTTATCTTTAACATAAATTTTAGAAACGTATATCTAATAGACATGTTCGCGTCTCTATTATTAATTTAAATATTATTATAGGTGGTCCTCAAGGAAGTTTTAACCCTGGAATGCGCAGTAGGTCTGATGATTTTACTCAAAATGCAGGTACTTATTATATATATATTAGTTTTATTAATTATAATATACTTTTTTATTTGATGTATTGTGTTCATAGCTTGTATAAATAGAAATATATTTTAAATTATCTAAGTGTCCCATGAAATATTTTAATCATGTTACAACCGTTTAAATGTCATAATTATTACTTATTCCTATTCACAAACTAAATTAATTTGCTGAAGAAAATAAATGAGAAAATTGAATTATTAATACAATATTTATAATAATAATGTAAGACTTAATAATTCTATGATTAATACTCACTGCTGTTCACAAACTGAATACATTTGCTGAGGAAATTATATGAGAATATTATATAATAATTATTTACAAAATAATCTATTAGGTTTTTCTATGATTAATACTCTATGCTGTTCACAAGCTGAATTATTTTGCTGAGGAAGTTGAATGAGAAAATTTCTTGTTTTAAAATACAATTCTTTAGGTTTTTCTATGATTAATACTCTATGCTGTTCACAAGCTGAATTACTTTGCTGAGGAAGTTAAATGAGAAAATTTCATATTTAAAAATACAATTTTTTATATATTTCTATGATTAATACTCAATGCTGTTCACAAGCTGAATATATTTGCTGAGAAAACTTAATGAGAAATATATTTATAATAATCTAAACCTTAGTAATTCTATGATTAATACTTAATGCTGTTCACAATCTGAATTTATATGCTGAAATAAATTATGAGAATTAAATTGATAACAATATTATATTTTCAAAGATTGTTTTATTAGTAAAACTAATTGTTGCACATTTGTTATAAACAAAATGTTAAATATAATATATAACTGATGACTATTCATAGGTTTTTCTGGTGGTAATTTCCGTCATCAAAATGGTGGTGGAATGGGTGGACGAGGTAATTTCATGGAACAGTCTGGAGGAGGCATGCACAGGTATCCAGACAGTGGTTCACGAGACTTTAATCGACAAGGAAGTGGTTCACAATTTCCAGGAGGAAGTCGTAGTGAGCGTAGACCAGATTTTGAAAGTTTACCACCACCACCAAGTAAGTATTAATTTATTAAATGTTTCAAAACAAGTAATTTTACAGTAATATTTCACCAAATCTCTAATTATCATTGTATGTTAAAAATGTTGATTAATCATAACTTTTTCTATGTATTTGATATAAATAAAGGTCTTATATTACTTAGTTAAGTATTCAAAGTAATAAAAAAATAAAGTTTTATAATATTTAGTTTCTTTTTGTTTGGTAGGTGCTAAGTACTATTTGCTTTCATAAAATTTTTAAATTTATCAGTATGATAATATACTTCAGAATATGAAACTAAAAATACTACTTACCATTTTATTAATAACAATATGGTCATTAGGTGTATAATATAACGCTATACTTGAATTTTATTTACAAAAATTTTGCATTCAATAATGTATAGTACAAAATAATTGGTGTTATATTATTACCATAAACACAAATATATAAAAATCAAAAATGTTATTTTAGATGATCCTGGTAGGCCTAAATTACAATTGCAACCAAGGACCATAAAAGAACCATTGAATCAATTGGCAAATTCTACTCAACATTCTAGTATATTTGGAGGAGCAAAACCTCGTGAAGAGAAATCACTTCCTGACGTTGTGAAGAAAACCTCACCATCACATTAATACAAATATAATTATTTTGTGCCAGATAACATTCTAATGGACATTGCTTTACTGTTTACAAGAACTTGTGGTTTTTTTTTTTACATTTTATCATTTTTATACATACCTATAGCAAACAAAAAGGTTTTATGTGTATGTTGGCAATAAGTTTATTACCTTCACATAAATTGTTGTAATGTTCATAAGCAAAACTTTTGTGCTCTTTGAGCATAACGTTCACTAAAGTATGTATTTATAAATATATGTACACTATAATAATGAGTACAATTATGCCCTTAACTATACTAGTATAGTTAATAGTTTTATTTTATTTATATTGTATGTGATTAGATATTACGTACTAATTAATTGTAGTTATTAAGTAGTTTTCATTTATATTAATACATTAAGAAATTTGTATAAAAATATTGATAATAATTGCTTAATAATGATTTATCTTATGTCATCTAAAATATTTTTTAAAATAAATACTCAGTTTAATAATTTCCAATCATTAAAGAATTGTGTTCATAAATAATAGTTTTATAATTCAGTCAGTGTAATTTAAAAAAAAAATTTCTTCCTTAAAATTATATTTTATGTTATTACAATTTTTAGAAATTTGTGGTATACTCATGAGTTATATTTTAAGAACTAAGTCAATGATTTAATTATTTTATGTTAACACATTATTGTAATGTAACAGGACTATCATTAGCACAAAACCATTATGATCACACTATACACTGACACCTACCTACTATGTTTCCATTGACAAAATTACTGTTTTTTTGTTAATATTTGTTGGAGGTTAAGCCAGGACATCATTGATGTTAAACAATTTATCAACGTTCTATCAAATAAATAATTAATATTTTTTAACTAAAAAATGTACAAATTATTATTTAATATATAAATGTAGAATATTTTATTATAATATGCTGAGTTATCAACTACCTCAAATATACTGAAGTCTGTGTGCTCAAGAAAAATCAACAAAGAAAACATTGAAATAATCTAAATTTTTATCAAATAAAAAAAAAAAAAAACTATATGTTTATGTTGATAAATACTAGTAGGAAAAAAATATTCATTGACTTAGCAAGTATAACATCAATAACATATAATTTGATAGCAGGTACACAAGGGGTAAAATTACTCGGTCAACGTATTAAATCCAAAATGTCCCATATTTTGTTTTTTGTTGGGCATTGGACTTTAGAGGTTCATATCAGAACGGTAGTAAATAGCGTCAGTTTATGTGCGGTTGTACGTGTTTGAACGAACAATATCGACTCTCGAGTAAAAAACCGAAACTGGGTGAATAATTGCCTTACTGCCTTAGTATAACCGTAATAGACAAGGAACAACGTTTGAAAACTACCAAATGACGCCAATGTCTAATGTTCTAGTGAGTTTTAAAAAGAAAATCTGGCAACATTACTGTATCACAAATTTAAAACACAATAATGGGCGGGCCCTTCCATTTCTTTATTCTCCTTGAATATGATAATGTTTAATTTACGCTACCATTTGAATTCCTTAACGGCTTAACAGTTATAACGTGATAATATTAAAATTCAAAATTATTTTTCGTGTACGATGTACATCATATTAATATTTTCTTTAATAAAAAAATAAATAATTGACTTCCTGAATTTATATCGCCATCGTGTATAGGTGCCAAGAGGATTGCACACTTGAACAATTCATCAACCTGCTGGAAAGGCATCTTTAAACTTTGTTGTTTAACTTTCTTTTCTAACGTCAACGTTGGACAGGTAAATAGCTACCATGACAAATCATTTTATTAGTATTTAGTTATGAAAACGCCCACTTGCAAACACAAATTACCATGATTTGAGTCCATTGATGTACACTCAAATAACAAAAAGCTAGTTATGATCCAGATGATAAATTTTCATCGGGTTATTATCTAAACATCTCAAAATCAATGATTATCGAGTTTTTTTTTTTATTAATCCTTCCAATCAGTGTCATAAATTGTTACCAATTAATAATCAGACACTGTACCAGACTACAGTTTAGTTCAAAACAATTTACTCACGTCATGTACCGTCACAATGAATACATTTTTTCAACTTTCTCATATATTCAAATATGTTTATTAAATAACGTGGTTTCTTATATTTTTTTTAAATACCTAGTAAAAATAATCAGTGAAACTTATGTATTACAGTCACTATTATTGGAATGAACTATGGTAAACAGTACTCTGGATTTCATGCATTTGTAAATTTGATTCTTTATAAATTTGTTTTGTGGTACTGGATCTTAAATTTAAGAGTTGTGAGTGCATAATTTTGATTTTTTTCTATAAATGCTTATTGTCACTGCTTATTTAAAAATATGTTTAGTATTTTGCTTAAAAATCAAACTAAGATTTTATGGAATAAATAAATATTATTAACATTATACAAAAATATAATTAAAATCCAATACATAGATATTGTAAAGTTTTTAATATCATTGAGTAACCAATATCGTCTGCCGGGGGTTGAATAATGGGAGTATCTAAATCATGCTCATAATTCAATTAATAGCAATATAAAAATCACTTTGTTCAGAATATAAAAATATTACTTTATGCTGTAATGTTTATTACCTCAACTTTAAACATTTATTTTTAAAAGAACATATAGTTTGCTCTACTTTTAAATTAATGTGAATTTGCTCCATATTATTATCTCAATTTTTATTTTTCAAAGTATTTCAAACTAATGGGTATGTTAGTACCAATCAGTTACTATTGTTAAATTGTGTTTTGTAAAATTATTTGTGATTTCCTACGTGTAAAATATTTTTATACTTAAATATAGAATCTTTGTAGGTCTATTTAAATTTGAATATTTTAAAATAAATGCATATTTAAGTATAGATCTCTGCTAAAGCATTAGCTATTTGAATCATTTAGATTCATTTGTTGGAATATGGGAGAATCGATAAACATGTATGTATAGTAAAAGTTAAAAATATAATATTATATTGTTATTTTATTCTTCTTATAAACAATTATTATGTTTGTAAAAATTATCGTTATTATTTGATTTAACACTATAAAGCTGCTTAGTTATAATATTCCTATAATATTTAGTTTTTGGTTTCTAACATTTTATTTTTATTGTTTCAAGTTTGTTCATCTTCAATTATATTCTTATAATGGCCATGGTTGGAGAGAACCCTATACCGGAGTATCAAAATAAAGTCGTTCAACACATAGAAAAAACAATGAAAGAAATTTATTCCAAACGACCTTCAAATCATCAGTGGAAACTAAGTGATTTTGAAATTGGAACACCACTTGGTCGAGGGAAATTTGGTCGTGTATATCTTGCTCGGGAGAAAAATACAGAATATATGGTTGCTTTAAAAATGATGTTTAAATCAGAATTAGTAAAAGATCATATGGAACATCAGGTACGGCGAGAAATTGAAATTCAAACACATCTTAATCACCCCAACATTTTAAAAATGTTGACTTATTTTTGGGACGAGAAGAAAATATATTTAATATTAGAATTTGCCCAAGAAGGTGAATTATTTAAAGTACTGAATTCACAACCGAATAAACGTTTTGATGAACCAACAGCTGCATATTATTTACGACAAGTAGCTGAAGCTTTAAGATATTGTCATTCACAAAGTGTAATTCACAGAGATATAAAACCAGAAAATCTCTTATTATTTAGTCATCATGTTATCAAGTTGGCAGATTTTGGATGGTCTGTTCACGCACCATCCAAATGTCGAAACACTATGTGTGGTACTATTGATTATTTACCACCAGAGATGGTTGACTCTCAAACATACAACGAATATGTTGATAACTGGTGTTTAGGAGTGCTATGTTATGAATTTTTGTGTGGATCACCACCTTTTGAGAGCTCAGAACAGGCAGAAACTTTTAGAAAAATTCGTGCTGTGATGTATGGTTTCAAACCTCATATGAGTGAGAGCTCTAGACATTTAATTTCAAAGCTTTTAGTTAAAGTACCAAAGTCTAGATTACCACTAACTAACGTCATTGAACATCCCTGGATTAAGAAAAATTGTGAAATATTTAATAAAATTAAGCTAGAATTAAAATAATTTTATTAATTATCTAATAATAAATTTTACACATATTACTGTATTTTAGTTTTTCTATTAATTTGCCATTCTCACAATCATTATTGGAAAGTGATAGTGCTTAAAAACTAACTAATATTTGTACATATATAATTAACAATCATAATTTAAATGATAACATCTGTTTCTATTGTAGAATGTTTGAAATGGATATTAATTAATTGCAGTTATTTTTATTATGTGTGTTATTAAGAAGGAATTTTTAGAATTTAAAATATAGCTTTTAACATATTGTATTATTATAAGAGTTAAGTGTTTTAATGTATTTATATTTTACAAAAATTGATTAATACTCTGTAATTACAATTTACAACGATGCAATATTTCATTTTGACCAATTTTGTTTTCAAAATATCTGTAAATTGTGTATTCTTTTATGATTTAAAAAATGTCTAAGCATTCAAATCAAGAACTAATAAAGAAAATGTCAGCATGTGTATGTAATGATATTACTATTCTATACTACATTCTTGATTTTAAATATAATTTAGTAAATTTTGATTTTATATTTCTTAAATAATTGATATAATTATGATATAATTACATATTATAGATAGAATGTATTTTAATCTAATATACTCAAAAATAATTTTTTAATTTAAGATAGGTTGTTTAATATTTTAGTGCCTCATCTTGTATATTGCTTGGCGATGTTACCAATGTATACTTAAATAGCATAAAACAAAATTATGTCATATGATTGAATAATCTTATGGTATATTGTATATTTGTAATATAACATCCAAGATGTCTTTAATAACACATGAAAAATATAATTTATTAATAATATTAATTAATAATTATGCTATAAGTTCACATTAATACAAATATAATAATATTATGTACTAATCTATTATACATCAATAACTATAATTGATAATGATGTAGACAATTACTCACGCAATGATAATTACGTACTCACCTATATCTAAAGTTGGGCAGGTTTGAAATATTTAAATCACTTTTTGACCATTTCCCCACATATATTAAACGGAATACCACATAAACAATATTATATTTTAATACTTATGTATATTACGAGTTAAAATTTGAAGAATAAAAAGCAAAAAGCTTTTGGCCTTTTTTTAAACAGTTCCAAAACAAAATTTAAAAAATCAGTTTGGATAGATAAAATGATTATACTAGGTAATAGGTATAATACGTATTATTTTGATTTGTACGACCACAAGTTTAATAAGTTATTTTTAGGTACATTTTTAGTTTATTTTAGGTACCTATTTGGCTATATCATTAGGATTTAGGTGTACCATTTAAAGTCTTATCCGTCGAGGCCGTAATTTATTCATAGTATCGATAGCAAGTAAATAGTAATAATATAATGTGTAATGTGTAATAAAATTTAAATGGCTTATAAACTACAATAATAATAAGATGGTATCAATAATAAATTAATAACGAATAACGATACAACATAATTTAGGATTGCATTCGTATTTCGTTCTATATAAAAGCAATTGTGCGTGTGTAATAATTATAAATTCTAACATTATATAAAAATTCCAAATTCGCCAAAATAATAACCCATACCTATATACATCTAGCTTTATTGCAATGTGTACCGATTGTATTTACGGTATTTTATTATGGTAATTGCGGTTACAACTTAACTTATTTAACCTATATCATGGAATATACAACTAAAATAGTATTGTATATTGCTATACGCACGTCATAACTTATTATAAATTATAATATAATAATATATTTATTTGGTGAAAGGGGGTGATTGGGCAACGTAGCGTTTGTAATAACTATTTTTGCGAATAATCCGCTATTCAATCATTATTGGTACCGAATGGTACCGCACTACCGCGCGATGATAAGTACCTAATTATTATTTATTATTGTTCATACTTCATAGCTTTATGATAGGTATCTGTCATCGTCGTACATATTATATCACCATGGTGTAATAATAAACGCCGAGTCCTTGTTATTATTTCGCGTACTTGTCTCGAGAATTATAAATTTAATGTCTATGGGTTTTGACGCAGAGAGGTGTTGTATAGTATAATCACAAACGTCGTGACGTTTATAGCCCGTAAATGCATACATTTTATAGTATTTTATGCAAGTAAAAGATAATACGAAACAACGCAAAATAAAAACAGCAGTTTATTATAATTAAAAATAATATCGATATGAATTGTATATAATATCAAATATCAATACACGTAATATTGTATAGGTACCTCTACTTGGCTACGTTCGATGTCCACGCAGGTTTGTAGAATAATTTTAGTAGGGGTCTAATTGGGTATCACCCCTTTGTATCGACTTAATACGCGCACAACCGTATTGGATACTATAATGATCGTTTGGGATACCTACTTATCGGTTAACGAAACCACCAACGATTTCACGGCAACACGATTGTGCCTGTGTTACCTTTTTTTATTTTTGCACGAAAAAAACGCTACACAAAATATAGGCGTTGGTTTTTTAACAATTTTCCTTCTCAATTTTACAGGCTTAAAACTGACGACAAAAGTAAATGGTTGGATTTGTTTTATATTATTACATTATAGTACACGTGATACACTATTTAAAAATTTAATATATAAAAAACTACATACGTAATGGTTATTTTGGTACAATGGTACCTACTATTATGATGGTATTTATTTTATACATATCAGGAAAATACAAATGTCTATTATGCAATTTATGCTATGCAGGTAATATTTTTTAAGAGTTAACCATTAAAAAATTGTTAAAAGAACAATACCAATAATATTTCATAGAGCACAATCGTGTTACAGCCCAACGATGTTTACGAATTATTTGCATATTTTTACCGCAAAATAATCTAGGGTTTCGAATAAATACTCGTAGCTGAAAGTTATTTTAATATTTTGACTTTTCTATTCATAGGTACTATTATTAATTATTATTGACCATTTTATTTTATCATGGAAAGGGGTAATAGGTAGTGGGTCGCGAATTAAAATTATACCTAGGTAATACTGGTAATAGATATTTTGGATATTATGTAATTTGGTATATTTTGTAAAATCCGTAAAAATAGTAAATATTATAATATATAAATTGGTAAGTGTATTGGGTACCTATTGGTTTGTTGGCAGCCCTCTGATCTATCAAGTAAACCGCTTTTGTTTAATACGCGCGGGTGATTAGTATATTATACGACGTGTAATTTTTTGTTATTAATGTTATTATTTCTAACAATAAATTCCCGTTGGATCCAAGGTTAGGTTAAGTTAATTTATAAAGTTAATTATATTAGATATAACATAGTATTGTTTAAATTAATATTTTAATTATAGTTTCGTGTTGTTACTTCTTAAATAGAATTATTGCTAGCTATGATTAAAATGTGCGGGACTGAAAAAATGCGTTGCCTAATTGCAGCCTCCAATACGAAAGAAACGATTTCCAGGCAAACCGATAAAAAACGAATCCTGATAAATGAGGACAAGAAAAAATTCAAATCAATTGCCTGTACAAAAAAACGTATGCAAATAAAAAATGTTTACAAAAGTCTAAATTATTTACGATTTGTGGGTAGAGGGGGACTGAGAAAATACGTTTCTCCACTCCCACGGTACAGTAAATCGATATTCTGAGTGAAACGAAATCATCTATCAAATTCGATCAAGGGAAGCAAATTCAAATTAATTGTAAGTATAGGTAGGTTCTATAATTATGTAAAAATTTAAATGAACAGAGGAATGTATATTGCGAATTTTAAATGTTTTGGAATTTTTACATAAGGTACAATGGTACACATATAGCGTTACTAACTAAGGAGTTAAAATAACTATTATGGTCAACAAAAAACTGTTTCGTTATTAGGAATTTCGAAAGTTAATTTGCTTCTGAAAAACTATTCACTCTAAACTGTGTCTTTCCAAAAAGTTATTTTTATTAGTCCATGATATTGATTTTGGTAGGTATTTTTTATTGTTGAAAGTCAGATAGGTTATAATAATGCTTTATATTGGAAATGGCAATAGAGTTAACTGGTCGTTTTAACTTCAAAACATAATAAAACGGTCTCATATGTTTTAAAAACACGAATCCATATAATTGTAATTTATATTACATTAGATGCGAATTCGAATATTTATATCATATTTTTTTATAGTTAACTTGGCAAACGTCGCATAGTCCTTAACAAATTTATTTTTATCATTTTTTGGAGTCGCTACTTAACAAAAATAAAAAAACTAATATCGAATAACGAATTGAATTTGATATCATATCAGCGAACATATCTAAAAATATATCCAACAATAGTTTTCGCGGTTACCAAGATTATCGAGCACTTACAAACGCACAATCATTTTTACACAATATGTTGATCGCAATAATAGACTTACTGGCTAGTGGTGCCTAAAATTAAATAAACTCACTTCCCTCTCCCTTAATTTTGCATCGTCGTCGTCTACAGGTAAACGGTCTGGAGCAGGGGTTGTTTGCGTAGTTCGAGCGGCTTGAACGCTTGCCTGTACACGGACGTGAGCCTCCAGTGTTCCGGGTAATCCCGGGCTGTGGTGCCCGGCCACATGGAGAACGGCGGCAGTAGAGTACCGATGACGTACTTCTTCTTGTCCGAGTTGGTGGTCTTCGGTTTGGGCACCTTCAGGTGCTTGGCCGGTTTTCCGGCCGCGGCGGTCCGCAGCTTGACCGGCGTGCTGACCGGCACGCCCGCCTTGAACGCCATCTTGTAGTGCTCGCACTCATCGTCTCTCTTGCAGTTGGCAGCTGAATTCGGATTGTCGCAGGCCAGACAAGGCCGGTAGGCGTGTCTGCCGTGTCGTTTGGGTTTCGGTTCCCTTTCTGCGACGGCGGAGCTGTGGTGTTGCGTCGTCCGATGACGGCGCCGGTCATCGGACGGTGAATCGGCGACCGGACACCGCGCCGAACCGAACTCGTCCGACTTGTCCTCGACATGTGCCTCTTGGTCGTCGGACTTGCAGACGTCGTCGTTCCGATCGTTACCGTCCGAACCGTTTTTGCCGCGACAGTCCGGTAACGACGGCGACGGCGAAGACGAAGACGGTTTGTCCGAGAGAAAAGTTCGGTCTGCGGAGGCTCCGGTGACGTCCCCGTCCGCCACCGTAGCTGCAGCGGCGGCGGGTCTACTGTCGCCGTCGCGGTCTCTGTTCCGTATCAGTTCCATGACGGCCGACAGATTGCGATTTTTCATCAGACACTCGCGTGTTTGCGTCCGCCGCGCTTCCGGCACGACTTCACCGTCACCGTCACCGTCGACGTTACTGCAGTTTCTGTCCTCCCCGGCCGTCTGCACGAACCCCATGACGGCCGACGAGTTTTTCGGTTTTCCCGTCGCGGGTCCGCCGCACGGACGCTGCGATTGCTGTTGCTGCAGTTGCTGCCGAACCTTGTGGAACACGGCCGGCTCGTCGGGCAGCCGTGGCGGTCGGTTCCTGTCGAACGGCGCGTCCAGGTCCCAGCACAGCGCCAACTTGATGTCGGTCAACTGTTGGGCCGTCATGACCGGGCCGCACGTCTTGGGCCGCGACGGGTTTTTGTTATTACGCCTCCGGGTCGGATCTTTTTTCTCGTCACCGTTGCCACCGCCGCCGGCCGACGACGGAGGCGGTGGCGATGACGACGACGACGTTTTCGGCCTGTACACCCGGAGCTTGCTGCACTGCGTCGGGCCCGGGTCGTTGAACGACTTGTACGCCACTGCAGAACACTTGGGCCAGCAGCCGTTCAGTCCCAGTCCCGGGTGTTTGTGCCGTTTCGTCTGTAACGACCGGTACACCGCGTCCTCGATGGCGTCCGGCAGCCCGTGGTGTCTCTGCGCGTCCCCGTATCGGCGTCCCGTCGGTTCTTGGTGATCGGCCACCGGCGGCCGTGCGCCGTCGTCGTCCACGCCCGCGGTCTGCAGGTGGCCGCAGCTCGCACTTATGCGGCTCAGCGCGGGGCTGGACGGAGTTTTCGCACCGCTGCCGCCGCCGCCGCCGCCGATTGATTCGCGCTGTCTAGTGCCGCGAGCGCCGTTGCTGTTGCATTCGTCGTTACCGTTGACGTCTGTAGTTGAATTCAAAGGTCCGCGGCCGTCCGCCGACGCACAATTCCTGATCGCGTCGATCCTGGAAACGTTCGGCGCTCGCATATCCGATACCTGAAATCGGATCGATACATAATATTATTATTATTTTTTCGTTTACGATAAAGATTTCGAATTTATTAAGATATTTATGCACGATCGTAGTGTACGAGGTCTCCGTCATCAGGTTTTTTTTTTATTGAATCGTATACATTTTAGTGTATTTCTATATAATATACCTGTTATTTATTTTAAATAAAAAAAAAACATTAAAATATAAAAACAATATAATACAGCGTTTCTCGACCTCTTTACTGTGGCGACCCCCCTTTTTGAATTTCAATTTTTTAGCAAAAATTTAAATTAAGGATAAATTATTGCAGTATTATTTTTTGATGTTTTACGTTTACAAATTTAATAAAAAGTCTATTCTTCCAAGGCATCTATAAGTTTGTCTTTAAAATTTGTAGTCTTGGTTGAAAATATCAATATTGTTAAATTATATATATTGAATTCACATCCGCTATATGTTTTATTATTAGGTACTGATACATAAAAATAACATAACATATTTTGTTTTATGATATATACCTACGCATCATGATTATAAATTGTAATCGATGGAAAAAGTTTGGATGTTTTAACTAAATGCTGATTAATGACTCTGCGTAGTGCCATAGTCTGTACTTAATATTAACTATCTATTATTTAAATTATTAAGTACTTAAATCTAAGTTAGATCGAAATTCATTACCTATATAATGTTTTGGAAATATGATGCTGTTAGGTAATTATTTTTGTAGACTTTTTATTTAAGAAATTTGTTTTTTTTTTTTTAAATATTTATTGTATTGAAAAAATGTAAAAAGTAATTTAAGTATTCCATAGAGCATTGAAAATCTATAAAATACAATTTGATTGTCAAAGGTTATAGTAACTGTTACTTTATAGACTGTAGCTATAAAGTATAAAGAAGAAGTTAAGAAAATAATTCTTTTATAATCACGAGCTTGGGATCTTATTAGGTATGTGGTAAAAATAATTTTCATTTTTGGCTATGATTAGTAATTATTTTGCATGTTTCAATGGGGTTGAAATCCTTTAAAAAAAAATAGTTGTTTTAAATTTACGAAAAATTTGATCAGGGTCATTATTGTTGATTTGTTAATTAAGAGATAACCTTCAAAGTTATCATCTTTTAACATTTTTGTAGAACTGACAAGTTTTAAATCAAAAGTTGGTAGATTTTTTTGCTGTTATTTAGTTATTATAGTTTTTTACTTATAGTAGAATGAGTAAAAAAGATAACCTAACCTAATACTAAATTGAAAAAAAATTCAATATCTAAATTCTTAATAACGGCTTAGTAAAATATGCGCAAGCAATTTCCCATTGCTTAAGTTATAATATCTAATTCACATTACGTGTACCTAATACCAATACATGAAGTTTTCGTGGTATAAATGGTACAATATACCTAAATTTGTATAGAATAAACTTCGACATGTTGTAACCCTAAAGATAATGTATATTATTGGTAATAACTAATAAGTATTACTAATAAGTAATTAGTATATAATAAATGGTGACTTACCTGTTGTTTCAGTAAATAACAAATTTTTATTTTATTTAGAGTTCGCAAATTAAGCACGGTTATTAAGAAAACAACGTTAACATTTTATTTATCAAAGTTTCTTATTATTTTATTTAGGTATTGTTAAATTATTATCATAAATTATTGTCTGTATTGATCAATGGTTTTTCATTTATCGCAGAAGAATCCACACAACGCGACGACATATGCGTCTGATCGCAATGACTCACCGCAGATTTTATGGATTTTATCGAATCCCTGTCGGTATCTTCGTTCGCTATAGGTTGTTGTCGTTGTTCTTTATTGGCATTAATTTGTTCTAGTTTATTATTGTTCTCGCCGTTTCCGGTCTTGTTTCGCTGGCTGCGGTCGATGAACGGATGGTGATACGAACGTTTCATCCACGTCTGACATTTCGGACCGGACAGTTCTGTAGCTATGTACAAAAAGTAAGCATAATATAATATAAACAATATCGTAATTTTGGTCATTGGTAAACAATTTTACAAACATAAAAGCAGAAAACTAAAACTATTGTACTATAATATAATATTTTATAAATGCAATACTTAGTTAGTTATACTGCAATAAAAATTTCCATTTTTATTTTTTATTTATTCAAGTATTAAACAATAAAATATAAATATGTGTATAAATATTTTTAAATAAAGGTAGATAAAATATAAGTAAAAATGTTAAGTTACCACAAATAATATTTTTATATTAAAATAAAATAATTAACATCCCTATTTATTGTTTAAAAAAGTAATTTTATTTAACTCTAAACATAAAATGTCGATAAAAAATGACTGTACATATTTTTAGATTCTATGGTTCCAGTGTTGAATTATTTAAGAAAAATCTTATATTAATTATTTTAAATTTTCAAAACTTAGATATAAAATGAAAAGTTATCATGAATTTTTAACTACAAAATAATTTGCAACTGTTTGTGATTTTGACAAATTTTGACGAGTATAAAAAGAAATTGTACCTATGCGTTTAAAAAAACAATATTAGTTTTTAATTGTGATTATGTATAAAAAAAAATAAATAAGTTTACTGAGTAGAAATTACAAATGAACGAACGAGAACAATTAGTAAATACTCACTGATGAGTACTAAATTTTATAACCGTTATAGTGATATAAGTATAGTAAAAAATTGTTATGTTCAATTTATCTTATCTTATATTTATTACGAAGTTCTCTATTACGATTTTTGACAATCATTTCACAAGTGATAATGATTATATTTTTAAATGTCAATACATCCATGAATTATATAAATACATAAAACTATAAAAGTACGAAATATTTAACAAAACGTCAAACGAGTAGGTACTGATTTATAAATTAATAATGATGCATTTACTTAAAAATACGTTAAAACAAATATGTACGTTTATTGTATTATTCAGTGTTCTGTAATTTTTAATAGGAATTATTAAATCGGCATTCAACAAAAGTATATATTTGTTTATTTACGCGAAAATCCGTCGCCTAATGAATAATGTATTTTATTCTTACCAATTTCTTTTGAAATGCGTTTTGGCAATTGATACGTCCCCAAGTAGAGACCAGCCCAGTGCTTCTGATCGGTTTTTTGCACCCCAGGAAGCAAATGTCCCCTGTCGTTAGCAATGACTTTCGTAACGGTTGAACGGCCTTTCGGACGATTCAGATGCCATTTAGGAACTTCCCAATTTCCCAATCTCGTTGGTTGATATGCTTTATCAAACTGAAAATAATATATAGGTGCGATGCGTATTATACTATTATTATTCGCTAAACACCGTGGATATAAAACGGTATAATATACTGTATTTATAAAATATCATATTATGGTGCCATTATATTTTTTTAGTATCGATGATCGCGTTCTTGCACGGTTTATATACCTAATATCCAAAACTCCACTACGTATTATAGACGAACCGTCTCCCAATTGATTATTTTTTTGTATTGTCTTAATAATAATAACATAAAAAATATTTTATTTCATTCATGACTAGGTTTTTACGTCTCGTAATAATTGATACACGTACACACGTTTTTACGGAAATCTATTAATATAAAGGAAATCTATTAATATAAAAAAGGTAAAAATGACATCGTTCTACATAAACTTATACTCAAATAAGTGCCTATCACATCATATTATAATCAAGCAGATTATACGTTCTTGTCCATTTATTGAGAACCCAATTCTAATAATATAAAAATAATTTAACTATATCCGATGAGTGTATAATATGAACAACGGAATCCCGGATTTTGTATGGCCGACATTAGGATTTCTATAAAAATCCGATGGGTTATTGACTATTGTAGTCTTCTATTGTAATGGACAACACGTGTTACGATTTATTAGGCTATGCCTCATTTGTGGTAATCGTAAATGATATTTTGGTTTGGTTTTTTTTCAGTAATTCTCGTATGTAAATGAAATAACCACGTTAGCACTTAACATCACATATTTTTGATCTATGGAACACGAGTTTTACGGCCCGTGGTTGCACGTTATTTTAAGGTTGGACTTTTGAAGTTATTCCTTAACGTTGATTAGGTGCAGTAGCATAGCAAGCATATTCAAACTTCATACAAAGTATTTAACGATCCACCCACTATACCCCCTACAATATAATATACAATTTAAAACTTATGCTAATTTAGAATTTTTGTCATTGGATCTAATAGATCATCAAAAATTAAGTATAAAAAAACACTATAATAATTAATTATAAATTCGTCAACTCAAATTTTAATTTTTAAATTTAAAATCAACTTCTTGGGTTAAGCAGTTGAATTAGGTAAATGTCATGTATCAAGCCACTGATTAGATTAGGTGATATTTATTTTTTACCAATTACTATTCCATTACAGCCATCAGTGCTTGTGGATCTTAAGCGGTGCTCTCTCCGCAGTGCTAAGCTGGTCCGGTATCGAATTGGAATTCCCTTAATGCTAGGCACTAACTTAAGTTAAATGTTGGCTATATTTTGAATGGATAAACTTGAAACTATCTAACGAGAGCCTAAAAAATTATTTTTGGTATAGAAAAGTCCGCTGGTGGAAGCCTATATGTAAGAGAATTTTTGTTACATTGTTTTATAAGTTTTCTCAGTATACTAGGGTGTGCTTATCACGCTACATAGTTTTTACAGATACTAATAGTACCTATAATACCTATAAGTCTATCAGGTGGTGGGGTATTAATATTTAAATTTTTTTATTGAGACGTATAAAAAAATAATTTAAAACATTTTACAAAACTTATACATTTTAAATTCTTTTAAATTATATGAAATAAATATAAATTCAATCATGTATAAAAGTAAGAACACATTACATAAAATTAAAAAAAAAACTTGGTTTAATATTTAAAAATTAAATATATAAGTACATTTTGTTACATAATATATGTGTACATATATTTATTATTGTATTATTAGGTACACAAAAATTATGATAAAAGATTATAATTTAATTTCCTATTTTCAATAGTTTTTTATTTGTCAATATCAACACCAGATATTAATTCTGGTTCAGTAAACATTAATAATAGATCATTTAGTCAATTTTAGACCTTGGTGCGTTGTATTTCTCAATTTATTATTTACCATAGTTAATTTCGAAAATACTCGTTCGCAGGTGTAATTTGTAACTAGTATTAATTTTAGTATACCGTATAAAATCCACTATTATTAAGTATATTACATAGTTATGGAACATCTATTTTTTGTTAATTGAGTGAGCACCTACAAATATTTTTAATTTTACCATATTATTGTGACAAATACAATTTTTATGATCTCTACGAATATAATATTATTACCTATTCAATATGCATTATAAATTGTACAATGTACTTATAAAAATGTTCGGTTGAGCTTAGGTAATTAGTCCTATATAATTAGTTGCGCGTTATATTCATCCTACCCAAATCGTGGTTATAATTATAATATAATAATAATAATTAATAATAGGTATATAAACATATATACAGAGTGTTAAACGCATTTCCGCATACGTCGTACATGAACAATACATGTATAATGTGACATATAATACGTATATGTAGGTATTTAAAGCATATATAATCCTTCAGTATACCAGATATCATTTCTACATTTATTATAATTTATAGTATAATAATATTTATATTTTCATAGATTATAATATATATATATATATATATACACAAACACATACTCACACAGTCACACACGGAGTGATTAGTAGTTCACTACCTAATTATTTCAGAATATATATTTTCTTTTACATATCTTATGTTATCAAAAAACAGAATTTTTGAAAATATTTATTGTGTTGGCTAATTTTTAAGTTTTTACTCTCATGAATGATAATATAGGAACACTCTTAATTTCATATTTCTGAACATAATTTTATTTAGAGTATTTTGATCTATAAAAATCAAATTTCAGCCAAGTAATTTATGGGCATTGTGTTGGACTAGTAAAATAATCAAAAATGTATTTTATTATAAATAAAAAAATAAAATAAAAATGATAACAATAAAATATATTAAAAAATATTGTTTTAAATTACTTAAGATTATGTAAAAAAAATATTTCAAAAACTATTAATAGTTTTTAAAATAACGGGTCTCTTACTCTTACGTTGATTAGATTATCCAGTATACACTACACGCCGCGTCCCTTAAATTTTGTATTATTATTTATTATGCACGCGTACTGCATTGCTGGTTGGTCCTTATTATTATTATAATCATAATAATAATAGTAATAATAATATTTTACTATACTACTACGGGTCTCCGGCCCATGTGCATTGGGATTATTATAATTATTATTGCGAGTATGTTGTATAGCAATAGTAACCACGCGCGCGTGGTGTGTGCCGCGTCGTTTGTGACAATGACGGACGGCCGTTCTAATTGTTTGTAAACAAGAGATTAGTGTATTGTAAATTGTAATATATTCATATCGTCCTCTATAACAAACACAATACGTAACAATACATCACCATATTATAATAATATGTGTATATGTTTTTTCCGTTGTATTTTAAAATTAAAATACAAATATTTGCTTTATATACAAAATATAATAATATTATTAATTATATCCATAATTCGTATATTATTCTAATACATATATATTACAGAGTAATTATTTTTCTTTCAAATATAAACGCTGATTTACACAAAAAGTTTCAATGCATGCCTTTGTATCAAATACTATGTATTATATATAATCACGTATAAAATGTATTTTATTAAATAAATTTATTATTTTTAAGAATTATTTAACATTATGTTAGAAATTGCCATGACGAAGATATGACTATATACCTATAGTGACTTCAGACTTGATCTATCAAATCACTATAGCTCTATATCCACCATCTCCAAACTTTTCATTTATTTATTGCAGATTAAAATGTGTCCGGGTCTGTTGTTTTCTATTAGTATAATTTTATTATGAATCCTGACGGTCAACTATCGATATTATTGGATCGAGTTTATTTTTTTCTATTCATTTCATTAACATGTATTGTAATAAAGTAAATATTTCAATAGTAAAAAAATAAACGTTTTAAATTTGTATTTTTAGTATCTTTATTCTTTTAACAAAAAAAATGTACAAGTGCAACATACTTCTCTCATTATTTCAAACCAAGTATAGATTTAAATATTTATACTAAATACTATAACCAGTTAAGAAGTAGTGGGTTGGATAATTCCCACATTTCTACTAAACGAACCAATTGGACTGATTTAAAGGTTGTCGGAGCAGAATATTTGGAATATTGGAAATTTAGTAGTATAGATGTATCGTTTATGGAATGTCTACCTATGTAGAGATATGTACGAAAGAGCTAAAAAATATTTTAAATTCTCTTTAAAATTTTCCCCTAAACCTATTTATTTACTGATGAACGTTGTTAAGAAAGAAACAAAATTTCAAGAAGTACTACCAAGGTCCAATTTACATTCAGTCAAATGATTTGTATTCATTATCTTTTTTTACTATGTTATGTAGGAAAAATATTTAACGTTAAATACTTGGACGTATCATAAATTATTGTAAACATTTTATTTTTTTTATTTTAAAGCTTGTTAAATTAAAAATTAAAGTTTTTTTTTTGCTAAGACAATAATTAGACATTGAGAAGTACATAAACTATAACTATTTGTTCCATCCTCTTAATTGTTTAAAAGTTAAAATCATTAAAAGTATAGAGTGCTCCAACAGCCTTCATAATACTCAAGGATACCGCAACCGTTCTTAGATATGTAATATGTAACTGTGTAACATTAAAGGTTCTCACTGTATGTCGCGTATACCAAAATATTAACTCGTGCAAAACAAATGTGGTGGACAGAAGTAGAAAACCGTAACGATTTTGGACGTGGTATAATAGTTAATAAACGTCGATTAAAATTTAATTATCACACGCGTCTGTTCCTATATATATATATATATATATATATATTGTATATTTTAATATACGAGTAGCTACGTATCCGAATAACAAAAGAAAAAAATGTGACACGAACGACGAGAAAAAAAGAATGTGTATAAGAGAGAACGGAGAAATTGATTGATGGTTTTGGAGTTGCCCATTGATATAATCCCGCAATCCCGTGTTTGTTGACGTTATATATGAGCAGTACGCCAGTGCACGTGTGCCGTAGCATACAAAAAAAAACCTCCCTCCTCATTGGGCGTTTCGTGCGCATCAGTCACATCGTACGCACCTACACTGCGAGTGGCGACACGATGTACGCTATAAACTAAAAATGTTTTCTGGTTTAGTTTGTGTGCTCAGACTGTATAAATGTATACGGTATACCTAATAAATGTTTGAACATTTTAATAAATTTATCTATATCATAAGGGTACCTCTATCGATAAAATGTATAAAATTTGTATTTCAGTTATAATTCATTGTATTTGTATTAATAGGTATAGATATAAGATACTTGGTAAATGTGTAACGAATCTCAGTCGAAAAGAGTTGAAAATAAAATCGTAAGACGTTGTCGATAAATTATTTTTAGTCGGTTTACATATCGCATAATTTAAGTTTAATTAATATAATATAGGTAATTTTTTTAAGAAACTATAATATTATAAAATATTATATTATTACAATTGGTTTTAGACTATTTGTGTATACATTATCATCATTGCATAATATAATAGTAAATTATAATAATTCACATTAAAAAGCAGTACGTATACATAGTATGATTTATTTTTATTTTGCTTTCGTTTTATTTTTTTATTTTATGTCCATCAACTAGCTGGTCCCTAAAATTATGAAATACACCTGCAACAGCGCAAAACTGTATTGACGATGGGTCATTTCGGCTTATACTTGTTTATTATAATTATTTATATATATATATAGTTTGTCATTATAGATGGGTTGTTTGAGGGGGTTGATTAATGATCATAAAGGATTATGTTGTCCCTTTGAATCAGTAGTGTGTGTGTGTGTATATATATATATAACACATGAATTGCTGCAGCAGTTAGCCATAAAGATAGTTATTATATAGCTAGTGCACTTTACATTGTATAACTGACTACAGGAGGTCGAATTGAATATAAATTGTTTTTTTATATTTTTTAGTTGTTTTGAAAACAAATCCAACACAGATTATAACGCTTTTCAATGGCAATATTTATTTTTTTTTTTTTTTGATAGGGCGTCGGGTAAGTGTTTAAACACAATATATGGCATAATAGCATCTGCAGATTAAACCACCAGGCACCAATATTATATTATGTATAACTTATGCTAATAGAATATATTATTATATGTGATAAACTGAATAAGGATAAAAGTAATGGTAGGCGGTAGAGAAGGTATAGTAAACAATTGAATTAACTTATGGTTATCTAATATTTTTCTCATTCTACGCGTACAGATTATAGGCAGTTACGCTGCAGGTAATGCCTGTGATGTAAGTTTAGGCACTGATAAGAAAGTGAAGCGTAGATATTTTAGTTTACTTCAATACATAATAAATGGGAATAATTAAATTAGTTTTAAAATTAAATAAGACTAAATACATGGTATATAATATACTATAACTATAAAATATAATTTGTAAACATTACATTGTATGTATTTACAGTTATGGACTGGTAAAAAAAGGCACGGGATGTTAAATAAATTTAAAGGTAAATAACATTTTTCTTGGCAAATTTAAAATATGCGTAGTTGCGTAGATTATTTATAAGATATTAAAATATTTTATTTTGTTATCAAAATATTGAAAACACGTTAAAAACGTAAATAGGTATCAAGTTACAACAAACATTCAATCAAAATTGTACAATATTAAAAAAAAATAAAAAAAAAATTTCCTAAAGCTTTATAGTTATATAGTAAATACATTTAAGCATAGGCGTCCCCAGAAATTTCTAGGGGAGGGAGGCAAAATTAATCTAAAAAATAAATAGATTTTTTTTATACATTTTATTTATAGTACATAACCATGTTTTGTCATTATTACAATTAGGTACTATTTTTATACATTTTATTTATAGAGCATTATTATGTTTCGTTAGTATAACATTGAATTATTACAATTAGGAAATAAATTTAAAATTCTAGGGGGGCAAGTGCCCTTCTTGCCCACCCCTAGGGACGCTCATGCATTTAGGTACATATTTTAAAGCAGATGCTGTAGCATCTCAGAATCCCAATCAGTCCGCGCCTGTGTATTTAATTATTTTTATAGTAAATATTGTTACAATACCCACATAATTTTGTTGAGAACTACGATAAAATATAATGCATACAAAAACCTAAAAAAATAATATTTAATGATTCAATATTATTAATTTGTTCAAAATCGTACTTTTAATTTTAATTTTTAGGTATTCCAATCATGAAAATATGATTTAAGAGTCGCATTTAATTTTGTGTGTGGAGCAGTTACAATATGAACTGCTAGGCATTCTATATTATTAATAAAATTAAGAGCAGTTTGGAATATCCAATAGATGCCATTTAATACTCATTAAATTAACTACAATTATATTATTTTATTTATTTATTATTGTAAATAAAATGTTAAACAAAAAAAATGGGTAGTTTTGAATAATTTTTATTATTTTTTTCCCTTTAATCACTATTAATGGTTATTGTTACTCAATACATGTCATAATGTAATTCATATAGCCTATAAGTGCTATTAAAATGCCTAATAATTAACGTTTTTAATTTTTGTATCTGTTTTAGTATATTTTAATTTTAAAAATTTATAATTTATATAATTTTGAAAAAAATAATATGATTATGATGAAAAATCATATTTTCAAATAATATTTATGATTTGTAAATTATTTTCTATTTAAAGTGTCATTACAAAAATACCAAAACTATACTAATAATTATAATAAAACAATATGGATAATAGTATACTACTGCAGGTACCTAAGTTTAATATTATTTTTTGTTCCATAAATCACTTACTTGATTACATGTGTAGTTCATGGACATACTTTTACGTGTAATATAATAAATTTACTATTATTCGATCGAACAACAAGATAAAAAAATTTGTCGTCACTTTTAAAATATTCAAAACACAAATAAAGTCTTTATAGACTGTGCTATCCAGGTAGCTTTTTTTCTGTCGTGACAAGCACTCGTAATAACTGTTTTCGTCCCTATGGATACAGATGTGACGTATACAAAGGTTTTATCAATTAAAAAAACAAATATGAGTTTTGCAAACTAACTAAATATTAGCACTAATTTCCATATCATTTTTTATTTAATTATACAGAATATTATCAAAGAATTCGTATTTAAAAAAATAATGTTATGACGTATCCTATAAATTAATATATTATATATATATATATATATTCCTATACGATTATAATATATAAGTACATATTATATAAACTTTAGATTTATTAATATTAAATCTTAAAAATTAGTTACTTTATCCATAAACGTAATAAATAAATAAATATTATTATTTTAGATATGCTCGTGGGTTGTAATGTTGAATATATATAATATTATAGATAAAGTAACGATCTATTAACGTTTAACATTCAACATCTTAATTTTTCTTTGTTTAAATGATGAGTAATTATTTTACTTTTTCTGTGTATTTTAAATATATAAGGCTACAATATAGAGTAACAATTTTATATTCTTAAGTATTGACGTCAACGAAATCTTATGATAATTATTGTATTCAACGTAAATAGACATACATTCATTGTTAAATTATGACCAAAATTATTTATTGCAGTAAGCAAAAAAAAAAAAAAATAATAATAAATAATAATAGTTTATATACATGGTAATTTGATGATATATGAATTAAATGTGTAAAAATTATGTGCATCTTAACTTTTCTATTATTATTTTGGTCTTAAGTATTTTATTTTAAAATTTGATAACAATTTTGAAAATGCTCAGTTGACAGAAAACAATTGATATCATATTATATTTAGTTTTGAAAATATAATTTATTTATATTATGCTTGTTTTAAAATGATTCAATTGTTTTTTATCAACATGACTAAAACTTAACTAAATTCAACTTCAACTACTATAAATTATATTATATTCAGATTATCCATTAAGTATTTATGTTTATGTTATTAAAAAATTAATAAGTTGACTAAGAAAACGACAGCACATTACATAATTTTCTTTTCTTTTACTGTATTACATGCTACAGAGTAAATTCATGTTAAATAGAGTTAATTATGTAATGTTAGCATTAACAGCATTTATATATTAGCGCGAGTTGATCTAGTATCAAAGTTATAACATTAAGAATATTATCTATGTTTGTAATTTGACACTTATAAGATATTTTTACCCGCGTTATATGAATATGTAAAGTATTATAATTTTAAAATGGTCATTAATCATCATATTATAAAAAATTAAAATATTGTAAAAACTTTAATGTACGAACACTGTAAAATATATTTTTTACTTTATCATGTACTCATGTGTGATTGTACAAATCAGAGAGTATAATATGCGTGCTAATACCTTCTTCATGTGTAATATTGTCTTTGTAGTATCATTCATTAGTTGTTATTTTCTTTTTGATTAAAGTTTTTTTCCAACCGTTTCTTATTTAAGATATTGTAATTTATATAGATGGGTATGCGGGTGTATATAAAGCATAAGTCATATTGAATGCTAGAGTGAGGCGTAATCCTGCAGAGCAGGCCTAAGCAATAATTCGATAAAATGTGGCGTAAAATGCACGCATTAGATGTGCACAATTTGTTCAAAGTTAGCTTTCATCCCTCTTCCCCCCGGGTCTGTTGTGGCATACATTTGTAAAACCACTCCCTCCTTACTAAAAAATTGAAATCGCGTGTAAGCAGCGTTTTTTAAATTTAAATTGAATTTGTAAACATTATTGAAATTTTATGTTAGGTATGCGTTTTATTGTTCATCTCTAAATACGGAATAATTGTTTATATTCATCTAATTGTTTGTTTTTATTTTTACTTAAAATATCCATGCACATGTTATTGTAAATTAAAATAAAATCAATTTTTGAATGTTTAATAGTAATGATTAGAATATGTTAAACTTATTATATGAGAAAAACCTGTCCACGAAAACATTTGCGCAAGAAAAGGGATAATCCTAACTCCGCCCATACGAAGGGGACTATAATGATTTTCAAAGGGCGTATCTTTTTTGATTGGCCAGTCGCAGATCCGCATCTCTGGATGCTGGGCAAAGTGAAATTTTCATGTGCATTCTCATATTCGCCTTTGCTAGTTCGGGTTAACACAGCTGTTGGTGGTTCCGAATTTATACTAGTCTCACTGGATATTAAACGTAAGTTTGAAATATAATTATCTACTATATAAGTTATTTCAAATTTCATAGTATAATAAAATATACTATATTACAACTCATTGAGCATATGTAGACAAATAAATTATATCCCATCATGAATTGTATACTACTATACAGCACACACTAATAGTATTAGTTTTATTGGTTATCTATTTGTACGAGTATATAGGTGTAAATAATTGATAATTATAAAATATAATTAATAATGTATAGATATTTAATATTTATTTAGAGTATAATTTATGAATGATTTTCGTATGGTTCTTAAAATATTCTGTTCAATATTTATCTATTAAATGAGTACCTATTAGTCTGGTCTATTCGTAGTAATAGTATTTTAATTTACAGCTTAAATCATTAGCTATATAATTAGTAACTACTAATATTAATAATATTGAAATATGGGATAAAATAAATTTGATTTATTATCAATTTAAATTTTTTTTGTAACTTTTTATAACATCTACATAAACACAATGTATTTTGTCAATACACTATTCTGATATATTTTATCTTGTTCTTTATGATACTTTATTAAAGTTTTAACATTTAAGAGTCAAATAGTCAAAGTATAATGATTTCATTATAAAAAAAACAACGTATAAATAACAAGAAAATATTTTTTAAATTATATATTAACTATTATAATGTAACTTAAATATTATGACAAACAAATTTAAGACTTATCAAATAGTAACTTTCTTGGTAATAATTAATTTGTATTAATTAAAATAATGTATAGGTATTGGGTAATATACTAATATTGTCTTTTATAACCCTTTAATAATATTAATAATAATTAAATTGATTATTGCTTTACATATAAAAATATATAAAACTAAATAAACTTTAAGATTCTGAGTGGAACTATAAATGTATTTATTTTAAAACGATGTGTGTTTTTATTTTTATTTTTGTGTCTGAAGCAGGGCTTATAATTTTCTATTTTTCGTACTACACACATATTTTAATTACCTAAACGTTTATTATAACTTACAAGTGATGTAAAATGAATAATAATAATATAGAAAAAAACATTATTATTTGTTACACATTTTTGAATTTGGTAGTATACATAATTTTGGGGCCTGGTCTGAAGATACTTTTTTAGTAGATAAAATAATGCATTGATGTAGAAGTTTTTGATAGAAATTTGGATGTTATTAATAATTTAAAAAGATCAATGAATAAACTCAGTATTTTTTATAATTATTTGGAAAAAATATACGAATATTTGTTGAAATTATAATACTGTTATTAAAATCATTATTAAAGAAAGTTACACTGCCCTCGCTAACACCACCTTTTTATTTTTTATTTTTAACTGTGGATTTATGTTTAGTTTTTTTTTCTATTCTAGAAATAACAACAAATAATAAATCTTGAATTAAATTATATCCTTTTCGACTGAGCAAAAAATTGTTTATCAACCAAAACAGAAAAGCAATTTTAAATTTTAGATGTTTATAAATAGCTAAAAAAGAGTAAATATTTTTAAAATAATACAATGTATAGAAGTTGTTAATGTTTATTTTATTAAAAATTGTTAAAATTCAAGTATTTATGGTTATTCATTTCTGAACTACAACAAAATAAAAAATGTATATTGTCAAAAACAAATTTTGATGAAAAATTTCCATTTCCCAGATTTTTTTGTTTCCCTGGATCAAGAAAAGTACTGGGGAAATCAATAACATTATAAATAATAAATATTTACTATTAAAGTAATTAATTATTTACAAAATATTAAATGCAACGTTTTAGCAAAAATTAAATTGATCTACTCCTACAGTCAATTGTCATGCTAATAGTAAAATAAATTACTTTAATAGAAATTATATCAAAAACCACAATATGACATATATTTATTAAATTGTATTGTAGGCTAACAGATCGTCTTTTTCTAGAATGATTTTGTGTATGCAATGATATCCTATTGAATTCAAATTTAACATAAATTGACTTAGACTCTATGGCAAGGTATACCTACTCAATATCTAAGTTATAAGTACTGTACATCAGATAGTTAATGGTTTCCCCATTTTTATTTTTATTTATTTGATTTCAATGGAAATAAATATAATACAATTTATGTCTGAACAATAATTAATGAAAGTTATTATTAATTATAAGTTTATGTTGAAATGTATTTTTAATTTATTTTTTTAACATTTTCACGAGATGATCAGAATTCTTATGCTTTAAAATAGAGATTAAAAAAAAAAAATCATTAGGTATCTATTATATTTCTAATTCAATTTATATAGATAGTTTTAAAATTATTACTTATAATAATAATATTATTGATGCTACTTCCTATTGCCTTCCAAAACTAGGTAGTACTGTAGTAGATAGGTAAATTTCTTATTTGAATTTTCTTATTTGGTGATTATATAATGCAATTCAAATATTGTATTGAACTATACAATGATCAATTATTATTGGTTGATCGGTTTTCGTTATTGGTAGGAAAAAGTTTTTAATTGTTTTAAAAATTGTATTTTATGATTTATATTTTTAAGTATTTTTAATAGGTTCCTATCAATATGAAATTTAAAATAAGATTACATTTTTTTTTTGTACAATTTTTCGATTTTTTCTTATCTAAATAATATTGGATGATAAAATATTAGTGTATCTATAGTTATTTATAATACACCTTACTTATAACACTCTAAAGGAGACTAAGAGAAAGCCCTGTTTAGCATCCTTAGATCCGCATTTGATGTTTGATCAATATTGCAAACATATTTAACCTCTGCAAATAAAAAAAATTAATATTAGCGTTTATTTTTATCTTAATTCATTGTAACTATATGGTGTAATAATATAAATAATAAAAATTTTTACGATTTTAAAGCTAATTTTACTGAAAATTGTCAACAACAATAATACAAATTTATAGAATCGCACTTAAAGTTATTTTTTCTTTCGTCTCCAAGTATCCCGTTATTGAATAATAATATTCTCGTTATTAGGAATCTTGAATATTATAATATATTAATGGCGTTTTTTATTACAACATAATATGTAAATTATTGTTTCACACATGATATTATATTATATTATATTTATTTAATGTGACTATCGCGGTTATTTGTATTGGTTTCGGTTAACGACATTAAATCGGAATCAAGTTATCCCAAAAACACGTTATGGTGTAGTTATACATATTTTATCATCCAATAAAAACAGTAGTCGTTGTTGTTTGGCACGTGTCCGGCCGGTGGTTGTCTTCCCGAGGGAGTTGACGAAACGCCGGAAACGTGTCGATGTGTCGTCGCCAATATTCGAAGTAAAAAATATATATACATACAGCGAAATCTACTTATACTTACACACGCACACACGTCATCAATATAACATTAGTATTTGCAGTGTTATAATCGGAATCATCATCACGTTCTAGAGAAGTGTTAAATTATTCACAGAAGTTAATATGAAAAAAACTCGGAAATCGATGGCATGCATAATACACATACGAGTATATATGATATGCAATATTTGTATCTCTTATACATATTCAATTACAATTTACAATAAATATTATTTCGCGTTATGCATTTAAATCACCCAGCTTTATAATACATTTTAGATTCTGGTGGGAGCAAAGGGATGATAATTCAGATTACACAATACGCAATATTATGTGTTTGTTTTTTGAAAATAAGATAAAAATTTATGAAAAAAATGAATGAAGTTTTTTGAAATTGTCAATAATATTTATAAATTTAAAATATATTTTATAATAAGTATACCTAGAATTAAACTAAATAACAAAGTTAATCATCAACTTTAATTAATTTTACAAACGAGTTTTATCTATAAAGTAAAATTGTTTTTATTTTTTAACATCCACAATAAACCAATGATCATATTAATTTTTTAATATTTTCATATTCAATTAAAGTACAATTTTGTTAAATCAATCAATTTTAATGTAATTTTTACAAAACTTTAATCATCGGTTAATGTTTAAGTTATATTTTCAAAATATGTGTTTTATCAAATTAATTTTGAGGTGAATTGTTTTATACTAAAATTTTTTATTTCTAACGATGATTATTCTCATAGTAATTATTTATTACTTTCAAATATCTATATGAAAACATCCATGCACCAGTGAATCATTTAACTCTTTTATCATTAAATAATAATTGTATACTATATAATATGTATAATTTATGTAAATTATAATCATAGATAAGTCTTTGACCTTAAAAAGTATCATATGCAGAATACAGTGCAGTATATAGTTTATACATTAAATCAGTACTTTTGATAAAAAATCACATTTTAAGATTTTTTAAACAAAACTTACATATATAAGAGATAGATATGTGTATTTTAAATATCTTAATATTATTTATGCATTGTACGATACTACATGAATTATAATTGCACATAGGTATATAAAAGACATCAGTTATCTATTATTTTATAATACCTTTGAAAAACTATTCAATAATTACATTTATTAACAAATATATAACAATTATTATATTATATTTAGATAATTCTTGTAGTTACAATAATTATAATCGAACTACACGCGATTAAGTATTAACCTATACTGACGTATAATATATATATATATTTTCAGATTAACCGTTTATTGTTCTTCTAGCTATAATTTAAATCATGTAGTAAATATCAGTGCAAATATAACATGCTTATTTGTGAAACGCGTATTTATTTATGCATGGAATGTTTTCATCTATTTGAATAATAGTAGAGACAACATTTGTCTGCAATATTCTATACAACTTATTTTTTTTATTTTTTTATCACACAAACTGTCAACTTAAATTATATAGCAATTCAATTTCGGATTCTAATTAATGTTTTATTGTTATTTTTGTGTTTAGATGGATTTTTTATCTTGTGGTATGTACTCAATGGCGGATTCGACGCTTCCAGATTCTGTGGACGGACACAGTACACTTGCGAAGAAAAGGTAAGTACTTGGCTAATAACCAAAACAAAACGAATTTGTGTTGAGAAAAAAAAAATATGAAAAATCCGTCTTGAAAAAAAAAAAAAAAAATGAAAAAACCGTTGATTTTTTAGTCGCGAAAAAAGTACGGTGACGGGAATGGCCACGTTGACTAGGGAAGAACGGCGGAGAAGACGGCGGGCCACCCAAAAGTACAGAATGGCTCATGCAACGCGCGAGCGAGTTAGAGTCGAGGCGTTCAACGTGGCGTTCGGAGAATTGCGAAAACTCTTGCCCACCATACCGCCCGACAAGAAATTGTCAAAAATCGAAATATTAAGGCTCGCGATATGTTACATTATGTATTTAAATCAATTTTTGGAAACGTAAATTGTTGATGTACGTGCCGTTCACGACCTCGAACGCCCGTTAATTATTTTGGATTATATAGGCTTACACGATATTATGATTATTTAATAAGCACTAAGTGGTTTCAATCTCCCGAGAATTGAAAACAAAGTATTTTTAATTTTTAGTCAACAATAGTTCGATGGTTATCAGTTTATCATTTTACAACAGTTACAACTTACAACACGAGTAGGTTTTATACATAGGTGTATATATATGTATATATATATATATATATATATCATTATATTATTTGCTGTTTGATTTGACAAAACTTTATTCTTAAGAAATTTTAATTTTACTTATTTAATAGAGGTTTTTTATATTATTATTGTACTTAACATATACTAATGTGATTGTGCTTACCTAAACACAATTTTTCATGGTAATATTATATGATTTGTTTATTTTTTATGTATATATCGTAATACATTTGTTTCATTTTTCAAATCTATTATAATCAATTTTTATTTTAATATAAATATTATATATATATTTCTTTATAAACGAGTAATTTATAATAATTAATTCTTATGTAAAAGAAAGTTAGGTATCCAGTACGCTACCTGCAATATTCTAAACATTATCACTACAGTTTGTAAATAAATTGCAATCATAGACGAGTATCGATTTTCTTGGCAATGGTCGGACCTATGAATTTAATTTGCAGATTAAAAACAAATTTTTAGAATATTTATGTATTTTTAAAATTTAACGGGGTAACTAATTTCATAACTACAAAAACTTTAAAAAAAAAAAATCATTCTTGGACAGATTTGCGAAATTGTTGGACACGTCTATGGTTGTAATAGATTGAAGATGATATGCTTACGCTACCCACCTAAGTGTAGTACCTATATATTATGTATACAACGTACTTACGTTTGATACTATCTATGTGTAGGATAGTAGGACATTACTTTAAATTATTATTAAATCTAAACTTAGCTCAAATAACATAATATTATGTTTTTATCATACGTAGGTATAGGCTGAATAAGTGCAATACAAATATGTATTAATGTTAATAATAAATAATTATTAATAGATACGGACTTAGAAGGTCATGACTTATTAGTTATTGATAAACATGATTGTATACAAATATTTATCTACATTATACAATGTTATATAGAGAATAAGAATTTTTACTATAATTTTCATTTCGTGTAAATACAAATAAAACTTATAAATCATTATTATACGCATATTATGCATAATATGTGTAATTAAATAATATATTATATATTTAAAAGCTTCATGTATCATATAAATATTTTATTAATTATCAATATTATTTAAAAACAATACTAGGTATTGAGATATATTGCAATAATTAACATATGATATCGAAATACCGTAATAAATATCAACAAATGAAATTATAATATTAAACACCTAAAAAATATTTTTGTTAATTACCTGAAAAAAATGATAAAAACTATATGAGTAATAATAAAATCATTTTACATTTTTTACGTGTATTCGGTAAATTTGAAGTGTGCTCCGGTGTTTTGTGTAGTCGGCATTCGGTATATGTATGTATTTGATGGTGACTTTGACTCCATGAGCTGTGCATATTGAAGGTTCTTCCTTAGCCTTCAAGGAACTGCGAGAGGTTTAGTGTACCTATCCAACTCTGAGTCTTATAATAATTTCAAATTTCTTGATATTTCGGTAGAAAAATTCATTATTAACATTTGTATGTCCTTGAAAAGAGATTTACAAAATTATCTTATTATTTGATATTAATGTCTTTGTATTTTACGTAAACATTTTATACCTTTATTCGACTGTAAATGGAATTGTCAAGTTGTATTACGTTTTTGCCATAGGATAAACAATGTAATAATGATGAAAATAAAAAAAAGAGTACAGATATACAATCCAACGAGCCCCAACCCGTACAAGACCATCTTATTTGTTTCGATAAAACGTACGGCGGTATAGTCGCATAATATAATTATATATACTCGTATATTGGATAAATAAAGTTAAATCGCGAGGGGCAGTCAGCTGTGATCGTCGGACCGTCAAATGCAATCGGTCTCGGTTGATCAGTTACCTATACATACGAGTAAAACGATCGTATAAACGACGATGTAAAAACGTATACATAATGTATAAAACACGATTCGATACTCTTCTTTATTTATTACATTATATATATATAAATGTATAGCGAGTGATCCATTTAATGGAACACGTTCGCTATTTCAAATGCTGTTGACGTTTTTCAAAATATTCATACATAATTTTAAGCCGTAAAAAAACATCATTTTTCTAATTTATATATATACTCGTATATATATATTTAGTTATTTTTATTGTTATTGTTAACTAAATTTTTGTTTAATGTCAACGTGTATTTTTGATTTTATATTCTAAAGCAGAATATTTCTTGGAGTAGTTTGATGTATAAAATCGTTTAAAAATTTCTAAAAAATATGTTTTATTAAGCGAATTGTAAGAAAAATATTTTCAAAAACTTTAAACATTTTTTTTTTTTTTAAATAATGAGTGTTTTTACATTATAAGCGAATCACTCCGTACTGCAGATCGTCGATGGGTCACATTTCTCGCGTCATATAATATATAACATGTATAGTTATATATATTAAATACCTATAAGTATTACAATTAGCGAACACTCTTATGAGTTATACATATATTACGTACTTTTGGACTTTGTCGAATCAAAATTTGTTTTCGTTACCGGTGTAATCGCAATGTACTCGTACGCCCGCAATATTTACCCGCATTATTATTATTGATATTATAAATGGTAGAACCGGCGCCAGTGGTCCCGTCTGTGGGTACGAGCTCAGGCTCCAAGCGTAATGGAATTCGGTCGTCGCGCACCTGCGACCGACTGTGCCGGGTCCACAGCTGCACCCGCACCCCGCCGATCCTGTATTTTAAAGTTCTCATCGGATCGATGGTTTACGAATGTATGTAGACGCATCCGCGAAAAGTTTATCTATTATTTAATATGATGTCAGTGCGCCGTCTCCCCCCCTCTCATTCTCTCTCTATCTTCAGCTTCCTGCAGTTCTTTGCAAATCCACACGAAACACGGAAATATTTGTTCAACATAACTTGTAATCTATTGCGTCGTAATAACTTTAATAATATTAAATTGAATGACCCGATAATCAAACTTAAAGAAAAGAACATTTGTGTTTGTACTTTGGATTTTTTACAACATTTTAATAATTTCTGTACAAGTTATGAATAGAGGTACCTACCTATATAATTTAAAAACGCTCATATATACGCTACGTGCTGCAAATTAGTTTTTGGTTGCTTATAAATTACTTAATTTTTATTTTTCCATACGACCTTATGTATGCATGACTATAGACATTTCCTGAATATTTTAGGTTTAACTGAAGTATTATTTATTGATTTGTAATATCAGTGGCATAGCCTGGATTTTACATTTTTAAATTTTTTTGGTGGGAGGAGTCAATTGTCAACGATCAATTTATTAGGTGAGGAACAGCCATTCCGCCCAAAGTTTTTTACGTTGATGCCATGAATACTTAAAATGTTAAGCTATTTTTGTTGAACCATATATGAATTATAATCCTTATACGTTTGGCAAAATTAATAATAAAAATAGGTAAATATATAATAATAATAATAAATAACTAAACAACTCCCAATCAAATTTCACCAATGGTTGACTATTCTTGTTTAAATAATACATGCATTATGTAAAGTTAATTCTATCGCATTAAACTTATTGTACTAAGAGTATAGATTGTACTTTATACCTCAATGCAAAATAAAAATTACATATCAGGTATGGTTACGTCTTACGTAATACGTTTCCAGAACACTGTCTGCATTTTAATTTCCTGGTTAAATATTCGTGGAGATCTACATTTTCCTCAGCACCTCCTTGGCTATGTCACTGTAAGTTTATTTGATTTTACATACAATTTAATGAATATTATATGTATACCTTTTAGGCGTTACCTGCTGCATATTATTATTATTAAATAAAATAATAACTGCAGTAAATTGCGGCCGAAAGGCCAAGCACTATTAGAATACGAACCGGCAACGATGCAGTAAAATAAAATGTTCCCGTTTCCGAGCGTTCTTCGAAAACTAAATTAACAATATAAAATATATTAGCTGCAGTGTATGTGATGGGGTGAGTGCACAGAAAACGAATAGCCCCGCGTGCGAAACACAAGTGTGAACAACCGCGAGGGGGCCGGTGCGAAAACGATCGAATCCCCGAGGAGGACACTGCACGTACAAAGTATATAGCGTCTACAATACGCGTATATAGGTAGGTGTACGTATTATTACATTATACAATATTATATCTACGTATATATACGGCCGCCCGGCAGCTCTACAAGCGTGTAGTTATTACACGGATCGGTGGGCCTTTTACCGAATTGGATTAGAAAAACGGATCCGGCTTGTATTTCAGTTATTCGATTACAGTACAAGTCTACTTCTGTAGATAGTATTTTACTGAGTGGCGTGTACATGCAAGAGTCGCTCACGGTCACGGAAATCGCCTCGCAAGTGCGCAGTCGTTCGTATGACGGGTAATGTTATACATTGGACATTAGTATGCATTAATACATTATACTATTTATACTATTATAGTATAGGTATTAGGTATATTATTGAACGTGAACAGGGTAGATACTGCAATCCCAGTCAACCGACCGGATCTTATTATATTATAATTTATAACAATATATAGGGCGCTGATTGCTGGGTGTATCTTATCTTAGGAGTAATAGGTGTTTTAATGATAATAATATTAAATACTTGCACACATCTAAAGTATAAATGTAATTTCAAATTTCAAAATAATTTTTTTTTAAACACGTGTTTTTTATTTTTTAGACGTAATTTTTTTTTTTTATAATAATTTACAATTTTTACTCAACACACAGTTATACTGATAGAAAATTTAACTTTTTTAAAATTTAATGTGTTGGTTTTAGTAATTTTGTCATGTTTTTCCTGAAAACGTTACGAAACATCGATTTTTATTTAATATTTTATTAATCACGATTAAATTATTATAGTTAAATAAATAAATAAATAATTAATATAAAAAAAATAATAAGATTATATCTATTAACTATTTTAATTGAACTAAATAGGTAATTGTTTTAACTCATGTTTGTTATCGTAACAACTCGAACAAAATTATTGAGTACAGGTATTCGTGACAAGAGTTTTATACGCTACATAGTGACACTATAACCGACTGCATTATTTCAGCATTCAATCTTGTATATCCGGTCGTATATCAATTGTATGTCATTGAGGATCAAAACTAGTTATACGGAGAGAAGAATTATTAATAAATTTCACAAAAGTGAATAAAGAAGGACATATAATTATCATCAGTTAACTATAAGCCATGTATAAGAATCAACTTACTATATATATGTGCCTACTAGCTGGTAACCGATGCACTTTTAAAAGCGCCTTTTTTACGGCTTCAATAAAATCAACTATTCATAGTAGAATATTTCAAATAAAAAAAAAAAAAATTCACATTTAAACTATTCAATTTAAAATGATCATAAACAAAAATGTTTTATCTAATACCTATTAATTAGATTCATACCTACGTATAATATTTTAAAACTAATTTTTATTTCAAATTAAACTTAACTAAGTAGTTTAAAGAATAGGATATATTTTAAAATAAGCTATATATAGTTTAAGTCAATTCAATTTTATTTAAAACTATTATTCAAATTCTTCGACTTAAGTTAAGTTTTTTTTTTAAGAAAAGTTAATTGAATTACCTAAATATATTAAAAATTAATTAAAAAATTAATCGAAAAATGTATTTGTTTGAAATCACAATGATCAACGTCTACGTTTAAATGTTACTGGGTTCTTACCGTTCCTAGTTTCCTGTTTTTCAGGTCCAAAAAATCCATCATCATATCGACTTTGATCATACTATTTAGGCTAATCAAAATTATCAATGCAAATGGCTCCTTAATCTTGATTTCAGACGTCATTACAGCAATATTTAACTTGAAATAATAAAGTTTTGTTAATGTACCTACTAATGAAACAATATAGTTTGTTAGTTTTAGCATCCTGAAATCCGACCAGGTAAGACTATTTGGCTCAGTTGTAACCATCGAGACGAATGACACCTTGATTTCAACTCCAGATGTAATATATATTAGGCATCGAGACAATGCATATTATATTACATTATACGTACTAAAAAATGCTATGTATATTGATATACAAGGCGTTTCGCCAAATATGCTTACTCACATTATTGTATTTAATAATGAATATATTCATTTAATAACCTAATCTTTAGGTAAGAAATTTTAAATCGTACCATTTTATAAATAGTATATGTAGTGTGTATAAGTAATATGTGCACATATTAATTAGTTATTATATAGTTAATAATACGCGAATTACATTATTTTTTGTTCTTTTGTTAACTCAGATTTAAAACTAATTATTATTAGGTTATCATTTGGCCTATTAAAAATTTTCATCATTTAAATAAATAATTTTAATATTTTTTATAATAAATTTTACGAGTAAATGTTTTATAACTAACTGAAAAGTTAATTTGTTTTTTTTATGCATACAAATAACTTAACACTTAAAATTACACTTTTATAGTAAAGTAGTTTTAAATTTTTCTACACAACTATAAGAAGAAAACAGATTCATAAGCGTTAAAGGATTATATACTATTATCGAATTATATTTTTTAAAAAGTAGGCAAGTGAGTATCGTTTTGCTGTACAGTAGGTGTCGAGTGAATTACTGTAAATTTTAGTTATTGATGTGTTCAATTTGAATTCTGTTATATATGATTGTACCTATATGAAAAACTATTTTGTGTAAAGAAAGTACATTACTATCAAAATTAATTAAAATTTTTAATCATAAAAACTGTACAATTTATAAATTTTTAATTGTAAATAGGTAATTGGAGTTTATTGTAACTTTGAAGAATGTTATCAACATTTGAACTTCAAACATTCATAAATAAATTGTGTCTATGTATTTTAAATATGTTTACAGATCTGTAAGAATAATTTATGTGAAATATTTAAATCTATAATTTTTACTCAGCGAATAGTATATTTTTATCGACATTTAAAAAAAAAAAAAAATTATTAAAAAATGGAAAATTTTAAATAGGTAGCTACAAATAACTCAGTAGGTAATAATCGAAATATTTTAAACATGTTACCATATTATGTAGAAAATGAATAAGGACATTTGGTAAAATTATCGAAATAATTTCCATTAATATTATATTATAATTATTAGTAATGATAAATTTATAAAAAATATTGCACAAACAATTATTTGTTTGCGTTCGCGGCTTACTTTGTCCAGACAGTGTCACATTATTCGGTCGTATTCCACATTACTCGTAGCATATAGACACACAAAAAAAATATAATGTAAAATCAATAAATTTTTCGCTTTGCTCAGTTTGTAAATTTCCTGGTTTTAATTGAATCTTAATCCTGGACATAATATTGAAATGATAAGTTTGGTAATGATTAAATTTGATTAGCTATGAATTTTTAGTTAGAATCAACTATCAAGAGTCAAAGGACTATTTTAAATGCAATTTTTACACACCGGGAGTTAAAACGTGTACAATGCATATTTTTAAGATGCCTGAATTATTTATATTAAATATTTCTCATTCTCTCCGGAATTGTGCTTCTATAGCTGAGAGGATTATATGTTTGATTTATTTGTAAAATTTAATGTTTTAAGTTTTAATTTTCCAAATAACTTGTGTAGTAAATCGATTTACCTATTCTACATAGACATAGTACTAAATTTCTAGAGTTTCCAGTATAATGGCTGTTATTAAGTCTTCTCTTATACACCTATACTTTTATTATACGGTTATATGCACCAATGCACCTCAAATAATTTGAAACATTTTGCAGTTAGTAAATATAAGTGATAACTATTGGACTATTGCAATAGTATACGGTCTATTCGTTTGCTATTAATTTATTAAATATGATGTCATGAAATATTGTACATCGTTTATTGTTTGTTAATTTGAAGTAATTCACGTATTTATATTTTCAAAGAACTGAGCTTGCTTATATTATTAAAATAAAATATAAAATAAGTAAAACATGTAGCCGCATATTATATAGATATATAAGATTAATAGGTACTAACCTATATGGGATAAACTTAAAAACTACTTTTTAATTTGAACACCTTTAGTTTTACTTAGAGACATTAAGCAATATAAAACAAATAATTTTACTTGGGTTACCTACTATTGTATATTGTCATGATTATTACCTATTATGATATGGGTACACCATCGACCGGATCGCCACACCATTACAGGTCTACAGCACTGGGTACGTGGTGGCACGACCACTCATAAAATAATTTATAGCCTTTATAGTATTATTTACGCGTACCTACGTCATACAATTATTATTAATGATTATTAACGTACGATCAACCGTAGAACGAAACTATGATAGAATTAATCTTTTGTTTGGTGGAAAAATGACTGTGCGGAACGGATGAAGAGCTAGTAATAACGAATTTTCCGCGAATGCAGTGTGGCGTCTCTCCCACTGGCTCGGAAAATTTCTCGAGTAGTCCGTCGGCCAGAGTAATTACATTTTAGTGCAACGTCGGGTGCGTCGATTGTACATAACTAAGTTATAATATTACATGATATGCGCACGTTCGACAATTTATACATACGTTTTAATGTTTTTCCGCTGCATCAAACGCGCTTGTTTCGACGGGATTTTTTATGAAAAATCTTCACGATTATTGCAGTCAGTTTGCCACCGGGTTCGAAGTATAAGCGCCGAAATAGTTAAATCCTGTAATTTTTTGATCAACTAATTATCATTAAACTCTCCATCTTACACGTACTACAAGTTCGGCCAAGTTAAACGAGGCTGACGACTGCAATATAGAATGATGTGCACACACGATTCGTGAAAGCTGACAATGTAATTATTATTCAGTTGTGTCTTGATGTTTTCAAGTCATTTACATGGTATTGTAATAGAACTATCTTTTAGTTTTCAACAATTTACGACAACACAGTTACCAACATGGGTGTATGGCGTACGCAATGGACTGTTTATGTTTAAGTAAGAATAGTAAGATCAAGATGTTTAAACCAACCGTGTTCTAGAGTTCTTCGATCTTCGGTGCAAAGAAAACGAAGATTTCAGCAGTGTGACCATTTGTTCGGCACTCAAACTCGTTTCGGTCCGTCGGTAACGTTGACCGTGGCCTGCAGGCTGCAGCGTACGTCCGTCAACGATAATATTATTATTGTATACAGTTTTCGTGGTGTGCGCGCGCGCGCTCGAGTGAATATAATATTATGTTTACCATACATCGTCATTATCAACGCGTATCGTCCGATTATCATTTCATTACCAATAATAATAACAATATAAAAAGTAGTATTAAGTAATGATGGTGTTTTTGATTTTGCGTACGCCGACGTTGGCTTAATGTAATTTTGCAAATCTCTCCGTTCGGGTTTTCGATCGAAAAATTAGCACGCGCGGAACTGGTTTCGCGACAACACCGCTGACTACTACGACGAAAACATAATCGTATCGCGCACTCGCGAAAACAAATTCCGCGGTATACGCGAGTTGTGAAATTTTCGTTCGTCACTGTTATGACGGATCGTCGTCTGACGAGATCCCGATCCTCCTAAGTCCGTTCCGGTCATCCACATTAACCCATGAATAGCAGTGGTAAGCATCTGTGAAATGTATGCGTGTTTCGACTTCCTAGTATCCGTGTCATCATCCTTCACTGCCTTACAACCGCCGACTCCGGTCTCCCGAGCTCGATCTCTTAAAGATTAGTTGTTCGATCATTTCATATAATACATATCTTCGAGTACTTACATTACTTCATAAGCAGATCATATTTGTAATTATTATTTTCTTAGCACACCCACCAGATGATTTTATGATAGGTCATATTGTAACAGTGTGGGTGTGTGTGTGTGTTATTCAAATGTGGGTGTGTGATGATTCATACTTGCTGTAATATGAACCAATCCTAATGTTGCAATAACAAAATATAACAGTTTTTACTTATTGTTGCATTTATTAATTACTGTTCCATAATTATGTGTGTACAGATCAAACAGTCATTAATTGCAATAAATCAATGTCTTGTCAAGGATAGATTGGATCAAATGGTCGTTAGCCAATTGTTAAACAAATACTGGAGAAATGGATCACGGGTATCAAAATACTGGCAGAACTCATGTATGTCATTATGACTTGAATCTTTTAGTCATTACTCTCATCATTGAAACATATAATGTCATATAACTAATTTTATTGACAAATTGGCATTGGTAATTTTTAGTTTGGAACAACTCCTCAACAATTGGTTACACACTCGTTTTGCGACAGAGCTTCACCAGTGTCACCCGTCACAAACATTGGGAGTTACACTTCATTTGTGCAACACATAAAAGATGACACTAAAATGAATTCTTTACAACGAAAAGCACAAGTGAAACTAAATGCCATGCCGTGAGTACAAACTATTATAAAAGTATTTAATTTAGTTCTACTCTCTTTAATTAATATTATAGTCTGTTGTACAAATAAAGTATAAAAATAAAAAAAAAAATTCTAATATATTTTTAACAAATTAAATCATACAAAATATAAAATTTTAGAATAAAGTACCTACATTTACTTTTGATAAGTTTGTATACTTGAAATAATTTGTTCTTATACTTTATTTCTGTCATTTATGAAATGTTAGATGGTTTCATGGAAAAATATCAAGAGAGATGGCTGAAGATTTGCTTACACCAAAAGAAAATGGTCTATTTCTGGTTAGAGAGTCAACTAATTATCCAGGAGATTATACACTTTGTGTTTGTTATGTTGGCAAAGTAGAACATTACAGAGTAAAATATAAAGATAATCAACTTACAATTGATGATGAAGAATTTTTTGAAAATCTATCACAATTAGTTGAAGTAAGTAGTTTTTAGCCTATTTTTTGAATTATATTTAGTATTTAAAAATATTTTTTAACCCATCTTCACTCACATTGGGTAAATAATTCATCCTTGACAAACTTGAAATGCACATATTAAACTAACCTTAGTACTATTATGTATAACTTTCAATACCTTCTAATCACATATGAGTATGTAGTTGCAGTTATTTTTTTTTATTTATATATTTTGAAATAATAAAAATGGAGTAAATTTTTACTCCACATGAGTAAGTGTGGTATCGTTGATTATATAATTTATAACAGGTTAAGTTTAATTAAACTTTTAAATTTTCAAAACATAATTGTAAATGATAATTTATATTTTAGCATTATCAAAAAGATGCTGATGGTCTATGTACACAATTGACCAAGAGTTTACCTAAAAAAGGCAAACAAGAATTTTGTATTGATACCAAATCATTTATTGATGCTGGATGGGTTATACAAGAACAGGAATTACAGGTTTGATATAGTAAAATTTATTTATTTGATAACTTATTAAATTTAACTTGTTTTTATTCTTTAGTTAAATGAAACAATTGGTAAAGGAGAATTTGGTGATGTATTATTGGGAGTGTATAGAGGAGAAAAAGTAGCTGTCAAAATGTTGAAAGATTCTAGTGTAGAAGCTCAAAAATTCCTAACAGAAGCTTTACTTATGACGTAAATAAAGTTTTTCTTATTTATTACATATATTCTTTTTATTTATTATTTACATAAAAAAATACATTGAAATTGATCTATTTGTTAATCAGGTCTTTGAGGCATGAAAATTTGGTTGAACTTCTTGGACTTGTATTAAATGAAAAACATTTATTACTAGTTACTGAATACATGGGTAAAGGAAGTCTTGTTGAATATTTACGCTCAAGAGGAAGACTCCATGTCACTAAAAAAGATCAAATTAATTTTGCAGTGTAAGTTATTTTATATTTTTAAATTATGTACTGATTTTTCATTTAGATAATAATTATAACATAAAAATAAACATTTTAGTGACACATGCAGCGGTATGGAGTACTTAGAGTTTAGAAAAGTAGTGCATAGAGATTTAGCAGCTCGAAATGTTTTGATATCAGAAGCTGGAGTAGCTAAAGTAGCAGATTTTGGATTGGCGCGTGAAGAAAATTATATTGTGGATGCTGGGAAATTGCCCATCAAGTGGACTGCCCCTGAAGCACTTAGACAAGGGGTAATTTGAAATAGGAATTATTTATATTAATTTAAAATTTTGGATAATTTTATAAATTACTTCAGGTGTTCTCAAATAAATCAGATATGTGGAGTTTTGGTGTTCTGTTATGGGAAATTTATTCTTTTGGTCGAGTTCCTTACTCTAGAATTGTAAGTTTTACAATATTTTATCTTACTAGTTTATCAAATAATAATAATTAAAATTTTTATGTATTCCAGCCATTAGTTGATGTAGTAAAGCATGTAGAAAAAGGTTATCGCATGGAAGCTCCTGAGTGTTGTCCTCCAGAAATTTATGAAATCATGAGACAAGTAAACATAGTTTTTTGATGTTATTTATAATAATTAATAAGATGTTATTTATTGTTTATTCTTTTATAGGCATGGGATTTATTACCTGAACGAAGACCAACATTCAAAGATGTTAAGACCAAACTAGCGCAGTTAAAAGTTGTAACTATTAACTAATAGGAGTTACATTGACTAATGTAAAATAATTTATCTGTGCACTAATTTTGTTAATATCTGTATAGTATCAAATTTAATTTATACTTTACGAGCTAGTCTTTATTTTATCAACTTTCAGTATTTTTATTTATTTTTTTTTTTGTTATTATTACTATTATTATTGAATACTATTTAATATTTATAAACAATAAATGCATTTAGTATTGGTTGAGGTAGATTTTAAAACTTTTAACAGAGTTACATAACTACTTCTAATATGTTATTAAATAATGTTGGGTATTCCATATTAAACATGTATGTTTTATAACATTATGATTTTATTATATATGTAATCAAAATCATTAAATTTATACAATCTAGAATTTTTCTATTATAAAATATGTAAATTAAATTAATTTAATATGGTATATTTATACCATAAAAATACTTTTGTAGGTATCAACATTTTAAAATGCATGTGCATACACACATATATATATATATATGTATGTATATGTATGTGCGTACTGATATTCTATCAAATACATTAATTATTGTTTCAATCGTGATTTTTATAACACTATATTTATATATATCTGGTATATACATGTGATATTTAGTTATACCAAGAATTAATTAATACTGAATGTATACATTATTTTTAATAATTTTGTTCATTAAGTTAATGTATTGTATTCTAACTAATATTAAATATATTAAAACTATTAATCAACACTTGACCAATACTAAGCATTTTAGTATTTAATTAATTTTGATTGTATTTCAAATTTGCTAATGTTTTTCTATATTTGTTTTTTTTTTTTCAATTTTTTTGTTGTACAATATTTTATAAAAAAAAAAAATATCAAATTCTTATTACAATAAAATGATTTACTTTAATAGTCAACGAAAAAACATAACTTAATAATAGATTTCTTATATATAATATTTCTATAAATTATTTTTGTTCTTAGTAGACAATTATTAAATTATTATTTATTTGTCATTAAGCAATCTGACTGTTATAAAATGTATTTATAGCAACTATAATTTATATACTAGAAATTGGTTTCAATTCTTATCAATTAATGCTTTTTATAATATTTAATAGATAAATTTGCTTGGTTTTTAGTAAACTTCTCATTTTTGAATCTCTGACTGAAAGTATAATAAAACATATTATTGGTACTCTTCTCAAAATACCAAATTTAAAAATTATCATTCCAATTGCTTACTAATTTTTAATAATACTGACTGATTAAAATATTATGTTACTATAAAACACTAATATTGTTGGAAGCCTACACCAAGTTCTTAAATTTACACTCATTATTGTTGTAAAAATATATTTCTAATTAATGTTAAACGACTATTTTATTTTATCAAGTCCGTTTTTAATATTCAATTACAAACACGAAATTATGATATCACTAATTAATTTATTGTATTAGAATAAGAAATAATAATCAATTATTATGCGTGTTAGCTAATTTTTCTTTTTATATAATTTATGCCAAATCTCTCACATAATATATCTATTAAGATAAATTGCCTTATTTTTCAATATATTTGGAAATGGACGTATGGAAACTTTTAATAATTGATTTGTTTTAAGTGAATGTTTTATATTCAAAACTATGTAAATATGACTGTATTTTAATGGTGTATTTGTTTGTTTGTTTGTTTTTTTTCTTGGGTTACCAAAAACATTTGGTTTATATACTCATATGTTAATAAGTTTTTAATGATAATTTTTATTTGAACACAATTTTTTTTGCTATACTATAATATATATTTTTTAATCTATAATAAATTGATATTCTCTCAATCAATAAATGTTGAAAATTTTTAATTTGAAAAATGTGTTTGTGTACAGTTGAGTATTAACTTACTTAGTTTGCTTGTATTATACTTACCTACTTAACAATTTTAGAAGTTAACTCACTTTTTTTATGTTAAGCATGAGAATCATTCACATTTTACGGTTTTATTGTAACTGTTAAAAAATGTCATTTGATTATAAAGTTTTCAGCTGACTTTTGAATTTGAATTGGACGAAACCTAAAACAGTCGTTATTTGTGTTTGTTGCAGCCTTATGGTACGAAATTGTTTGTATTAAGAAATGAAATTGACAGTCCACTTATCCATCCCCCCACCCAAAATCATGATAATGACCATTTTGGTTTTTATACAATAATTTTAAACACGGTACTTACTCTATCGTTTATCTCATTATCTACATATTCCATTCTCCATATCAAGTTATTTTCTTAATTTAACCATTACCCATCTCGTACACGAATTTAGGTATGTCATTTTGTATGCAGGTATATAATATTATGTATATTTTCCTACGCCAATTTCATCCTCGGATTTTCTCTAAGTTCCTTACTTTATTATTTAAGTTATAAAGGGGTTATGTCTTGTTAAAACTAGGTAGGTGTCCTATCAGTTTTCGAGACATCAATGCGCTACTCTCACTATACTTATAGAGTTACACCTATTTGACACTTACGATACAAATCTAATTTTCTAAAGACAAATTTGCCATTTTGTAAAGCGTTCGTGTAAGACAAACAACAGATGCTCGGTTAATGTCATCTTAACCATCAATATGTAATACACCTACATGATTCATAAGTCATAACTCATAACAATATATAATATGATTTTGACTGTGTGTTTACCTACTTCACGCAGAATTTGTTATCGTATCATTTATTAATAATTATTATATAATTTATTGTACAAGTTATTAAAGATAATACATAGAAACGATGCGTCATATTTAACTACGGTAACCAGTTGGCACATAAACAATCTTTGGTTTAGTTTGGATTTTCCGTTTCTTCTGATGCGCATCGCATTTTTTTTTTCATTCGTGTTTACCTGTATAATTTCTCGTCTTGTTTTCTCGGGTTCTCCGAACGCGTCTCCTGAAATTCAAAAATAGGTCAACGATGAGTACGAAAATTTCAGTACCTATAATTTATAATATATATGGGTTGTAGCATACAGGACGTTTATTTGATGGCAGAATAATTAATATTCCTTAAGACATTTTGTAATATTATCATCAGTTTGAAATGTGTAAATATCTTTTTAAGGGGCTTGCTCGTATACATTATTAAATAAAATAAAATAACCTTATCATATTGCCAGCTATAGTCATTAATGGCACGAATTGAATGAAATTGGTAAGTAGGTACCTGCCATATTTTTTTCATTAAATTAGTTTTTTTGAAAACCGATAATAAATTATAAAAATAATTACCAACAAAGGTAAATATCACAAATTTAAACATCAAAAACTCGACCAGCTCTAACTTGGTCAATTTTTCCCTGGCTATTAATTTTTTTTTCTTTTAAATAGTATCAGATTAAAAAAACTACTATTTCAAAAAATTAATTTCACAAATTTTTTTTTTTTTTAATTTACATCATTAAATCAGAATTTTTTGATAAATTATACTACGGAGGAACCTTAACTCGCATTTAAAATTCAAACACGTGAGTATATCGATTAGGTGCAGTAATGTAATATACCTATTATGGTATACAATTATTTTGTTTTCATCCGTATTAAAACGTATTCTAATTTTTAGTTAGGTAAAATATTGTCGTTAATAAGTATGAATAAATAATATAAATAGCATGAAAGACCAAACTGTAATCGTTTAATTCATATAGTACCTAAATGTAGAAAGTTGGAAAAACGCGAATCAGATTTTAATTATTATTATCTATATTGTTTGTTGACCGTATTACGTTTTTTTCTGTTTCATTTATGCTCTAAATTCATAAATCATGGTCATCGGAAATTCAAATTTTAAAATGATTTTCTTACGGTTTTATTGATAACATTTTATTGTACCTTTATGTCGTAATTCATAATGTATAAATGTTAATAATATTAGTATTACCTTATTTACCCGTTGGAGGTTCCGGTCTAATCGAATGGACACGCTTTACTGTTCCGCATTTGAATGCAGTACGTCCCTCGAGCACTAAAACACAACGAAAAACAATGATTAAAATATATAATATAGTAAAAATAAAAAAAGTGACGATTTATTCTCAAAAATATTTTATTCATTTTTCTGAGCGAAAAAAAAATAAAAATAAAATGTATATTTATACTAATACAATGAAATACAATGAAATTGATTTTTACACAATTAAATACCTATACAATATATAGTCATTGTAATAAACGTGTCGAGTTTATCAACGTATAATATGGATTCTAAAATCGTTGTTTATAAAAATTGTTTTTTTTTTAATATTATTTTATTATGATATAAAATTATGAAAAAAAAATATAAATTTCTAAAAACTTAATACTTTTGATTTTTTGAAAAAAATTAGTATTTAATTTAAATGGAATTATTTTAAAAATTTAAAATAATATAATGTTTTACTGTGTTTACAATTATAATATTTTATTCAAAATTCTTAATAATTATTTTCAATTATAGGTACACAATAATATTATTATAGTTCATACTTCATAGTATTGTTTTGGTTTATTTAATAAAAGAATTTGTTTCCGTGTTATGACTTATGGTTAATATATGCAATATAAACATTGGAAGTATTTATTACTAAAATATTAAATCGAACGCATTATTTTGTTTAAAAAAATCAAATTGTATAATGAATTATAATAATATAGCTCTTCGTAATTATTTAGATATAACATATCAATATTTACGAACCCGAATGCATATCATGTTATTATATTATTTTGTCCAAATATGTAAGTGATATACGGATTTCATCCATGAGCTGTCGATGGCGTATTTTTATTTTTTATTTTGAAATTTATTGATAAATTACTCGAAGAGACTCTACTTCCTCACCCCACAAAGTGCTTGAAAATTATTAAAACTTCATAATCCGTTTAATATACTCTTATCCGTGCCAGATCGTTCAGAAAGTCAGGTTACAGGTAAATGTAGCTATTATAAACGTAAATTCATAATAATAGGTATTTTTAATAATTTTATTTAATATATTATAGTAAACGTTTAGAATATCTCATGAGATTATTTCTTAGAATCAACATTGACCTGTTGAACATTTGTGGCCGTCACACTCGCCGTCGAATGTTGACTATCACACGGTCGCGTGTATTTTCTGCACTACAAAAGAAAACATCGGTCTATGGATAAAAATTAATTTCTAGAAATACGAAAAAATCTTTTAAAAATAAACGGAAAAGGGAGATTCACCGCATCTTCGCCTTTAGTAAATACACCACTGTTACTAGTCACAAATGGATCATTCTGAAGCTCTACACTCTACAGTAAGTTTAGTAAGTTTATTTAAGCTTCGTCATAAAAGAGTCATACGCATAATTTATAAGATATTTATCATATGCGAGTTTTCATACTTGTCCGGAGTGTGGAATCCCATGGACACGGGTACGTCCTTGACGAACTTCCTGGATAGTGGTTCGCAGGTGGACGTACAGGGTATGCCTTGGTGGCGCTTGCCCCGTTCCGAGACCGAAGCCGCGAAGAAACAAGCGCTCAGGAAGTGACTGCACCGGGCTCGGCCTGTACAATACACGGACAACCGACGTACATTAAAGGTGCTGGTCAATAACGACATATTATAATATAGTATGACGTAATATAGCTTTATACATTATAATATGTATTTATTTAGTTATATCGTCACACTCGTCACACGTCATAATAAATTTATAGTAATTTATAGAGTGAAGTGTACTGTTGCAGCACTACAGCTGTATTGTATACATAGGTGGATATATACTATATACTATAATAGTTATTTGTATAATATTGTTGTTCAAGCGTATGATTCAACGACATTTATGTATGCTTCAAGAGGACGCTACGACCACATACGAGTATATGGTTATGTGTTATCACTGTCTTACGTATTATTGCAGTACGATGGAAATTTTGCGTTCAGTAGTACCGATTTTGTATAGTGATATTAATTGTTTGAACGAATTGTCCTATTATCGTGCCTAAAGTGAAGAATATTATCTATATTTGCTCGTAGATTTTTTACGATTTTTAAGCGATTTATGAGTGCATGTACCAATTAATATAATAAGTTACACTTTAAAAATTCTCATAAGTTATTTAAAAATTAAATAATCTTGTGAAAAATCTACGCGAAAACGCAGATAATATCCTTACTTTTAGTTGGCTCTCTAATAATATTGTTAAGCCAACTACACAAAATTGTAACTGAAGCTGATTATAAATTTAATTTCAAATTTGCACTATTATAATATACGTACTATTACTACTGTAAGACGACGGAGAAAACACATGTGGGTGTAGCGTCCGCTTAATACAGATTGATACTTTTATCGCTGTACAGTCATTTTATCGGTAATTAATGTATGGAATGAAAATCAGAAAATGTTTGTTTTTTTTTTTTTTTATCATTCATAAAATAAAATAGAATAATTACTCTAAAACGTTCAGATTTAATGATTTTAGATTACCCCCAAAAAATATGAGTATCTTCACCGAGAAAATGACTGTATTTAGAGAAAAGAATCAGACTGTATACATCAAGCTCAACTAAAATACAGTAAAAGCCACCATTTAACCATATACTCATAATTTAATTTACATTTTACAAAATATAATATGATTAATAATACACTAGTGATAATTCTACGTGATTTGTATACAGTCGTACTGATGTAGTAAATGATCATTTTAGCATATCAATTAAATATAACAATTAATATAAATGATTAACTTACTCACCGCAATTCAGCCACCGCAAACTTTTACAAACAATATTAAAATACGATTTATTTATTTTAGTATTCAAAATATTATTGCCTACCTATCAGAAAAAAAATGTTTAAGTGTGTGAATATTATGTTATGAGTACAGTGTGTACATGAGTCTGAAGAGTTTTACAATTAGTTATTATTATTATTATTTATTTTTTTGTAATAAAGCGGTGCATTATAATTCAGCACACTCTACCCAAATTGTTTTTGTATAATGTTGATGATTATTAATAGTTATAAATAATTATTTTGAGTATGAATCAAAATTTAAACTAGCAGTTTCTAAGTTACACTTTAAGTCCTAAAATAGTAGACTATTAAAATATAGACTTCGAAAATATAGTAATTAATATTTTATGATTTGTAAAAATCATCATAATACAATAAATAATAGACTAAATATTACCTACATATATTTCATAATTTATTGTTTGATGTAAGACTATTATTAAAGACTTTTAATTACTATCCATTTTAGTAAATATATTTTAATAATCCATTAACTATTGGTTCAAATTTCGATTTAAAATTTTTTTCTTAACTTACTTTAAAAAAAAAGATAGTTATTTTTAGAAAATAGAATTTAATATCCTAGGGTACTTTTTAAATGGTATGAAAAATATCTACGTAACTATAAGTTATTACGATATAAATTTATTTTTTGGAAAAATATTTGAGTAAAAATGAAAGCGATTTTCGATCAACTCAAAATCATGTAACGATTGACCTAGCAGCCACTCTTGATACGTAGAATAATCGTGTATATAATAATAACACATAACTAACAATATGTTATATTCGTACAGTACCTTGATTTGAGGTGACCGAATATAGCTCTTATATTTACTGCAAATTATAATGCTTGTCTTTTGACAGCATTTTTTAATTTTTAAATAACACACTGCAAATATTTCTTATATTGTGTGCCTTATAAAATAATACCTAAGTAATAACAATAAAAGAGAATGTTTCGCTATATAGTATTATAAAATGTACAATGCACGCGCCAATAACTACAAAAAGCGTTTACGCGACCAAAATCTTTGAAGCAAAATTGCCCAAAAAAAACAAAAAATAAAAAAACCTTTCAAAAATATTTGCTTATACACACCGTCAGTCACTACTATACTTCGCCGTCCAACAGGTATCCGCAGTCTACCTACCTCGAAAACATAAAATATTCATGAGCTACCAAGTCCACAATTGCAGTTACGTATGTATAGTATATTATGATATTGTTTAATCATTGACCGTGTACGTTATTAATTTCGTTATTTTATGGCTATTGCGTTGTGTAAATTTATTTGTTTTTTTTTAAATTTTTATGTCTGTCGAAATTTCTACAACGAACACTGTGCAGTATATATAATATATATATTATAATTTTTACTTTAAATAGTAACAAATTATATTATTGTTTAAAGTAGGTAGTTTGTTTTTAGATTCAAAGCGTAAACTGTTTGTTGACAACGAAACGTGTTCTTATTTTTGGGCTTTTTAGTAGTTAAAAATCTCGGAAAGTCTATAGTGCGATATTATAGAATATTAATATCTCGTACTGTATTACTGCAGATAAAGGTATAACCTCTTATTGACCAAAAATTCGAAACAATATTATTCGCACGCTATCATACCGCATTTGTCCACGTCGATATCTCTTCTATTTTTGTAAATTATTATTATCATATTATAATTATTAACGCAAAAGCTAATTATTGTAAGTACTTTCAAACATATGTTTTGATATGTATTAAAAAAATAAATATCAAAACCAGAAATAAAAAAATACGAGAGGACAAATACGGCGAGACATACTGTAAAGTGTACATAGTTTGTGGGTATGTATAAAATGTGATTTCAGCTCTGCAAAATAGCTTTAAGCTTTTTATTACTCGATGAGTTTTTGTAGTAAAATAACGCGTAGGCTTCCCGACACGCTTTGATTATCTTTACGCACACGTATATTATTATAATATTTTGTAATTACTGATAATTGATTAATCAATCGTATTCATTGGTAAATGATAAAAATCGTTTTCAAGACTGTTTGTAGTAAGTCTTGGTATCAAGTCGGCTGTATATAGTCGTCGTTTATTACGTATTGTGTATAGTATAGAAAAATGGTGACCCTACATTTTAGTTGTGCTAATGGATTGTTCCGCCAAACAGGCGATGAGCAATAGTTATTACGGATAGTCCTGGGCTCCTTGGCACAACTTGGCTGCAGGCGGCCACCGTTCACGCAAAAGTCAACGTGTCCTACTTGAGGCGTCTCGCCGAGGAATCCCGCGTTCGTGTGTATTACCTGTACCACGGTTGCATCGTCCCTGGTTAACCGGAATTCGGCCGAACCGTATCTATCGACCAGTGGCCTGGCTGGATCTAGACCTGCAACAGCGTAACAACATAAAAATAAAGTATACATCTTTGATTTGATATTCTTTATCAGAATATTATTCTGAGAATTATCAGGACTCAGAGATAATTTATGAACTTTTGAAAAAATTGTATTATTGTATATGTGTATCACTTGAATATTAAATAATCTTTCTTTTTGTACGGACTTATCAATTTTTTCAATAAAGAAAAAAACCAAATTTTTTGTATAAAAACATTATAGTATTTTTTTTGTAGAAAAATTTAAGCGGAAGCACTTTAAATTCCTTATAATTTAAATGGGTAGACCCAGTGAAATTGTCTCTCTTTAAACATTTATGAATTATGCTATTTTATTGTGCCCTTAATGGATTAAGAACATTTTTAGAAGCAGCACCTTAAATTATCATATCATGTTGCATTATAGATTGATATGAAGAAAGATAAACTATTCTCAGAGTATGAAGTGAAATAATATATTTTATATTATGAAATTTAAATATTATTGAATGTAATTTAATTACCAAACTATTAATATAAGGTTCCACTAAAGGCTACATTCAAATATTAATCCTTTAAATATTTAAAGTTTCATCCAACCAGCGGAGTAACTAGATAAAAACTTAAAGAGGAAGGGAATAATTTATTCTTCAAAATTGAAACCATAACATAATTTTATTGTATATTTTATACAAGTTTTAAAACTTGTTGTATGGTTTAGAAACAAATCGTTATTCATATCGTCAAATAATATTAAGTGCATTAAAATTCGTAAAAAATGTCTATAACTTGATTGAAAAAATAATACGATGATAATTCTATAATCATAAATTACGAAATAATATTATTGATATGGTTTAAATGAAATTTAAAGCTCAAAGTACAAATCGTAAACGTTGATTAAAAAAACAAAGTAGTATTGCTGATTATTAAATATTTATTCATTCTGTATAATTAGTAATTACACATAAATCATTAAAATTAGATCACTTTATTATACTTGTCAATGTAAGAGTCCATATTATTTCAATATAGTAGACAGTATAGGGAACTGAAAGTATTGATATTGTCTATAGTCAACTTATACGCTAGTTTAGGTTTTTGTGAATTCAATTTTCCATGATATGATTTCGTAAACGAACGAAAACAACGATTTTGCAGTGTATCTTACACATATATAATTCGTAAATAGTAGTTAATTTAACGTTAAAATGGTTTGTAAATAATATACAGTAAAAACATATTTCAATATTTTTGTGAAATACAACTTGTAATAACATATCAAGCATATTAGTGTAACGGAGAAAGGTATTAGGTTAGACAAACTATTAACTGTGTAAAAATTTAATATGTTTAACATTATTATATATCAATTTAAGAAAGTGACGAAAGTAAAAAACGGAACTCAGCTGTTTTGTTTCGTTGTAATTATTTTTAAAATCATCAATAACTGTCATTATAGGTACCTATAGGTACAACAGATTTCTAAAATTGTATTTGTTAATTGTCAATCACAATAAATATGGTCAAAAATTGAAATTAAATTTTATGTTAACGTTAAACTTAAATGTACTGTACAGGGTTGTGAATTTAATGATTTTGCATATCCACGTATTTCAATCTAAATTCAAAAATAAGTGTTATACTAATTTGACTCAATACATTACAGTATTATACTATTTTAAAATTATGTGATTTTATTTTTATATATTTTAGACAAAAATAGGTACATATTAATGCAGTTGAATTTAAAAAGTTTTCAGTTAATAAATATAGTTAATATTATAATATTTTACCGACGTTCAATAACCGCGAGGTATCGATAATTTTTTTTTTTATGAATCTTTTGTACTTCTTATCTATTTGTTTTTAGTAAAAATTGGTCCTGGCATGAGAGTTAATAATATTATAATTCGAAGTCGTTGTTGCCGCTTGAATTTGGCTATGATAATCAGGGAAAGTCAAGGACCGCGTCTGCGAATGAATAAGAAGAGAAAATACGTACAAAAGGAATCTGTAAATAATTATTGATACTTAAATAAAGCCAAACGTATTTCTAGTATGGCGGAGTACGATTTTGTGCGGGTCATCGGTAAAGGTGAGCTAACCTAACTTGACGTATATTAAAAAAATATAAGCACACACCTACATGGCCACATTTAAATGAAGAATATTTTTACCGGTAAAAAACGTTTATGCGATATTACAATTATTACTATTTGGAAATATTTCCGTATAATTTTTGTCCGGCGTAGTCTTATTGTTAATTATTACGACACGAAAAGAATACTCAATGACGGTTATAAGTATGTAATAATTCATAATATATATATTGGCACAATAAAGCACAGAATAAATTTGTGTTTAACGTGTCGAGCAATCAAAAAAACAAAAAAAAAGATATTTATAGGCATAGGTACGTCATAAATTTGTTTCGGGAGTGAAATGTATGGAATATTTTCACATAAGGTTCACGGGAATTACAATAGTTTACGACACTATATAAAGTTATTACTGGTTAATAGTGCTGACGCAAACATAATATCTATACCATAGAAGAACACCGGTGCTGTCATTTTCAAAATTTTGTGTAGAATACTCTTAGATTTGAAATGATTACTGAACATTACGAAATATTGAATAAATAATAGTTTTTTCTTTAATAACATGATGGTGAATAGGTTAATACCTACCAAATGTGAAAAGAGAATAATTAATATTTTTTTCAATCAAGAATAATCAAGTAAACTATTTTAAATTAAAATTTAAGATACTTAATGTTAAAATCCTAAAAATGTTGAATAATTTTCACACGTCTTCTAACCACAAAACAGGAAAAAAAAGTCACCAACAGGTCAAAAAAGTATTTTCACACGCAACATTATTTTATATTAAATATCGCATCGACGCTCGAGATAAGAACAATAATACACATACATGTAATTAAGGTCGATTACAGTTTTTTTTTTTTTTTTAAACAAGTTAAATTTTATATAACGTTCGTACTTTAAAATCGTTTAATTTTGTTTTCGCACATCGTATAATTTGGTATCATTATTTATTAATCAACGTGTCTCTGAAACGTGAACAGCTAAATATTATATTTGATAATCTGTGAACTTAATACATTAAAATAATATTACATTTTGACAAATTATTAGGTTTTATTTTAACGGTGTCCTAGAAAGGTCGACCAATACAGTAGTGAAAATACGTTAATTTTTATACTTTATGGACGACTTGTATTATATATTCTACCGGAAAATTAAATTAATTTATATTTTTCAAATAATTATAATTCAACATATTAATTAGAATATTATATTTTTATTTTAAGTGAATATATGATATTATATCACATAGATAAAACATTGAAAGCAATTTAAAAAAGGGGAAAATAATACATATACCTAACTAATATACTTAGTCACCCTAACTAAACTGTTTTTTTAATTTAAATTCGAAACCAGATAATTTAAAATCATCGAAATAACATGAAAATATGTAAATCGCCAATTATTGATAAAACTCTTCTAAATTTCAGTTAATATCAGAATTTTTTAGCGGAAAAAAAATTATATCACTCTTACTCGGTACTGTATAATATAGTTATCAAAATGGCTAATTATATAGTGTTTGTATACTTGTTAAAAATGTATGTTACACGAACTGGAACCATGTAGGTACAAAATGATGTGAGAATGTGAAAGATAGCTAACTTTTCTAATTTGTTTTTTTATTTTTACTTAATGATATTTAAAACAGTAAAAAACGTATTGTGCTGACCCGAAATAAATGATGATGTATTTATGTATTGGTGTCACGGGTTTTTAAAATAAAAATTATAATTATAATATAAAATATATTATAAATGCAAAAATATTTTTATTTGTTTCAGCTTCCTGTGAATTGCGGATTAATGTATATTTTTTATTGATAAGGTTTGACTCTCGGATTAATCCTGATTTTATTATTTCCTTTATGATGCTCATAATCTCTGTCTATTATACACTAATTTCTCAACCCTTATTTGATTAGTATAATGTATTTTTTTCAGTGATAGTAGTCCAAAGCAAATTTAAAATAGAAACCGGGGCTAAATACACTTTGAACCAGACTACATATTGGGCTACATTTATTGGACCAGACATCCTGAAACCATTATACTATATTACTATTTGATGCACGCTTTCTCTCTGTCTCTCTAACTCTATAGCATGTTTCTTATAAAAGATAACTTTTTTGCGTTCACCAAGTAATATAGTATTATCCAAACATTACAATATATGCGGTTTAGTGATAAGATGAAATCAATAGAAATGCTACTAATAAAGATCATACTATTAAACAAGCGGTACTCAGTAGATAGTTGAGTCGACAGAATTCAAGGAATACTCTAGTTGGTGGCAAAACATACATGCTCACATAGCAAATTACATATTTATATAATTATGTTCATACTCGAGCACGTATCTATATATGATATTGAGTATGAAAAAAAGAAAATTAATAACACATATCTTGTTTCCGCCGTGCGGTGAAACAAAAAAATGTTTTTTTAACTTTATATGTGTATTATAAATATTGTATACTACGTGTATAATAACGAATATGACCCAGAGGAAACTGGAAAGTTTTGAAGAATGCCGCGTTCGATACGTACCTACAAAAATCCCACTGCCAAATTCACGGTCATGGCCGGTCTATAAAAACGAAAATTACAAAAAATTCGTACAGATATTTTTAGGAATAATTATAGGATAATTGGCGATACACATCTCGCGATGTTTATTATACGTAATATCATATTAGATAGTAGGTCATGTCTTCTACACACGTGACCCATTTATACGGAAGAAAAAAAAACAGGTTTTACCAGAAATCTTCTTCATCCGGACGTCATCTGCGCGTTTAGTATTTATTTTTTTTATTCGATTATCAATTTATTCTAATTTTGATTTTTTTAAATTTTAAATAAAAACTATAAATTCAAATTATTGAGAATTTTGTATTACTTAAAGAGTATCCTGATGTGATACAAAAACTTCTGTTTTTTTTTTTCCAAACGACAATCTCTTTTTTTTTTCTAAATTATTCATTAAATAATTATTTTGAAATTTTCGAAATATTTAATTTATTATAATATTAATACTAAGGATAATGTATTATTTAAAATAAATTTTCCAAAAATATAAAATTTTATATAATGTTAGATCCAGTGTTAATAATACTTGAATCAATTTTAAAAACAATAAATATTATTAGATTACTTTAAATTACTTAAATTATCAAATATCTATAGCTCCCATATCTCCCAAATCAATTATTATGGACTTATGTATATTAGTATTACCCCCAGTAAACAAAATTAAATAACTCAAAAACTTCGAAAATTACAAAAATTTTGATTTTGACGTTAAAATGTTCAGTAAAATTATTCTTTAAATAATTTACACAAGAAAAAGAGGTTCTTATTTAATAAATACAAATTCGTATCTTCTCAGGACACTCCTTAAGTAGTAAAAAGTTCTATGATTTTAAAATAAGACCTTTAAGTATGTTTAAGAATTTGAATAAATTAATTATTAAATGAAAAAATAGGGTTGAGGATACTTTAGAATTGTTTTGTTTATTGTCGTGTGAATTACCCCTGACCTTGTTGGGTGCGATTATCATATTTTTATTTTTAGACATCGCTCTGAGGTCGAACTTTAACCTAGGTTTTATGGTATATTGTTTTGTTTAGGCAAGAATGCATAACGACACGAATGGTTGGGAAAAATGGATTATATACAAATTAAAAAAGAACCGTTCGGTAGATACCATTCACTTATTCGTCAAGATACAGTTAAATGGAGGTCGTAATAAATTTGAAACATTAACATAATATAGGTACTGTTTTGAAGCTTTGTTTTTGTTATTTTTGTTTCCGTGAAACCGATGATGACCTGAATAACGATAACGTTCTCAAATAAAGAGCATACTCGTTGCGAATTTACGTACTTTATTTGAAAATCGGCAAGAAAATAATTGAATACCGCGATAATAAAACGTCTCGGTTATGGATATATAAAATGGTTTAATATAATAATAGATAAAAGATTGATGTATATTGCAGCTGGTATCCATATTAGACCATGATATATATATAAACTCCATAACAGTCGGTCAATTTACATAACTGTGAAACAACTTTATGTCATTGATATTGCAAAACGCGAAGTGATTTTCGGTGAAACTAGTTATATTATTATAACATTATGTTGACAGGTGGAAATCGTGTTTTTTTTTTTATTAAAAATGCCTTATTTTTCATTGGATGTATTGATTTAACTTAAAATAATTATAAAGGCTGTGTATAAAAAAAACAGTAATCAATGTTTTTACAATTACTATAGTATGATGCGTAAGCATCGTAGTCGCGAGCTATAAAAAAAATAATATTCTAATTTCTGTACACCACAATATAATAGCATCTAATTTAAACCAGTTGTAGACTTGAAGCCAGCCGCCGCGTTGTGGCTTGGCCGTCTAAGAACATGCGTATACCATGACACGTTGTTACAAGTTCAAGTGCACTGTCGCCGCAGCCTATTTCAAAACGGAAAAACTTACACACTCATATTTAATGTTTAAAAATATATGTACGTATGTAAATTTACGTTAATGCTTCGCTAAATTACACCCGAGGCCGAAATTATTAGAACACGTATTTATTAATCGATTGCATTTATATTATATATAAACATACGTAAATACATGTCTGTTTTTTAGGAGCATGATTTACTTAATTGTATATATCATAGATCGTGGAGACTTAAACGTTGACTATATCTACGCGATATAGTTACTGAGAACGCTCGTTTGAACGCGCAGTATCGTGTGATAAACAAAAATACAGTATATAATATATGTATATATACTTATCGTGACAATAGAGAATATTAACATGGTATGTGTATTCGATTTGGTCAGCAGAGGTACACGATTCGCGTTCGTGAGAGAATTTCATGACTTTATTGTACGTACACGCATGTATAATATTGTGTAGGTACCTACACAAATTAAGTTACGCATATATGTTACTAATAGTAATTTTTCACTTGTTAGTTTCGTTAGAACTTGGAAGACTTTTCGACAAAATCGCAATACATGTATACTATATTACTAAACGTACTATGCATTTATTAACTTGATGTATAATATTGTGTATTTTAGTATTTACATACATAGCAAATAAAAGAAAGTAGTGGCTTAGCTAAGGTTGAAACGACCATACATAATCCCCAAAACACCCTCCCCCGACTACGCGTCTACCAATATAGCGTCGTATTTTATGTCCGTTTATTTATTTATTTTTTTTTTTTTTTGCGAAGTTAAGTTATGCAGCTAATGTAGAAAAAAAATGACCATGAAATAAATTTAATTTATAGTAATATGACATGTAATGCATATACGAACCTATGATCTTGTGCTGTCTGTGTGTCAAATGATTGCTTATCATTCCACATATGTGGGCCCCGAGACTGTGACCGACGCAATGTATGTCGTATGCCGATGCCCCAGAATAGGTAAGGTGGGCGTAAAACTGAGCCGTGCATTGGGCCACCAGCCTGGTGTTGCTCAGCGATGACAGGTAACACGGGAAAAACGTCAGCGGTTCCCAGTCCACGGTAAACACGTTGTAGTCTTTTCGATTCAGGTATGCTGTAACAAATGCAAAATGTAAACTTATACAGTAATTCGTAATAAATAAATATATAAACCGCTATGACTTTAGGACTTGGATGGAGGGTATCGGACACACTGAAATATACGTACGTTAAAATGAAATAAAAATACACATTTCATAATATTCGATCCCGCCCATCTTATTATTGCAAAGAAGCTGGTTACGAACAACTATAAATCGTACAAAGTTTGAAAACTGAATATTGAATGGCATAAATCTGCGGGTAAGTGATGAGTTTTAAAAAAAAGGGTCGAGAAGGGTAGATATTATGATTTTCTAGGTGAAATTGTTAAAAAACGATTTAATTTTTGTATAATTTAAAATGTCTTCATAGCACGATAATATAACATTCAAGAATAGTACGTACGTGTAATACGATCGTGAAAAACAACGCTACCGATCAGCATATTATATACCTACTCATATTTATGATGGCTCTAAACAATGAATTACAAATGACGTTCGAAAGTAAATTTTTATATTCTAAAATGCATGCGAGCTCGGATTTTGTCACGTTAAACGTGGTGGCTGAGTATCTTGTGTTTGTTATATCGCGATTGGACCTCGCCACCTCGGTGATGTGGATGAAACCGTGTTATGTCGGTCACGATTGCTACCTAGTACCTATGTATAGTCAAAGAAAAGTGTGCGTTTACACGAGCTGATCATAGACATTTTCGTGTTAGGATAACAGTGAACATTTCTTAAAAAACCTAAACTCGTATCCACAATGGTTTATTTTAAAACTAGAATAGATAATGCATTACTCAAGTGAATATTAGTGGACTGTTCTATCTCTGGTTATCGCACAATATAGACAAAAAGCATTTATGTAAAATCATATTTTTATGTTTTTAAATAAACTCAATTTTAGAATTACCCATTACAAAAATTATAGGGAATATTTTTTTTGAGAATATGACACATCAATTTGTCTAAGTAGGTCCTACTCTAAATATTGTTTCAAAACAATTAACAAATATTTTTATTTAACGCTAATAAAATATAACACTGATATTATGTCAAACCCTCTATAATTTTTGTAATAGTTTATTTTACTCTAAGATTTCTCAAAAATCATACAAAAAGTTTAAAAAAAAACTGTTTTACATGAATATGTTTTATCTTTATGGCGTACGTGGGTCTGAAAGAACACAAATATTGAGATAAAATCTTTTTAATACGTTATGAACCTTTGAAATTGCATAATGAATGTTAGGTATATTGCATTCAATATTCATCATAACTCATTTGCTTTTAATCATCGTTTAACGGTACGCACAAATTTAGGAAGAATAAATTGCTTTGGAATTTGACTTTAAAAAATAGATACGCGTAGCATTAAAATTTTTTTAAATTTGCCTAGAACATGACTGAAGTTTGCACTGCTATAGTTTCACTTTTAACTTTTAAAACATTTTATTAGATTTGATTTTAATATTTATTTAGATTATAGTTTCTGTCAGTTCGCTTAAATAAATCTCTATATTTTGAATTTGTCCACAAACTTATCCTATGTGGAAGAATAAAAATCATAAAAAATTATACGATTTTATAAAAAAAACTCACTAAGTCCTGACAAATTTTGTCTTTTAGGTCAATAACTATTCTCCGAAGTAGTTGAAACCTTGAAACACACAGTTGAAGTCGTTTTTTCGAATGCCTACGATAGTATTTTAAATAATATAATTTCACGATCAAATTTTGAACATTATACTATTCCACTGCACACACTTGAAGGCGAGTGAAGCGAGACGAGTTTACTTTTTAATTAAAAAAACATTCACCAACTATAAATACAACGGGTCGGTTTAGCTATATACTAATTACGTATATAATACTATTATTATAGTTTGTCGGTTTTACAAACGATTTCGTTTACAATGCTTGCATTTTGTGGTGAAATTCTGAAATAATTATCCATCTACGTACTGATAAAACAAGCTTCTTTAATAATAATAATGACTACGATAAAAGCAATAATAATCTTAATATAATAAGATATTTTATACTATTCGGTATGGATCACTAACCGTTTCTGATGATTGTCATCGGGGTCTTGCTTTCTGTTCCGTTAAAACCATGAATAATGATGACGTTTTTTTTGCTAGGATCCCAACCGCTGTACCGAAGTGAGTTTTTGTTTCGAACATCAATCAATTTTTTTCGTTTAGCACCACTGTAAAAATATCCAACGTTAAGTTTTAAATAAATTATTATATATATTGCACCTATTATATTAATATATTACAGAGTTATATTTTTAATAATTATTAGAATATACTAAATCATGTATTCGAATGTTTTCTAATAATTTTCTATGTTTTTCAAATATAGAAAACTGCCTTTTCTTTGTTGTTTTGTATGACATTATTAACCACATATATTCATATGATATATGGCATTTCATTTATCGATTTTAATATTGTGCAAGCGTAATAGTTAACATAAATTGTAACTTTTTTTGTTAATTCATTATAGAGATCTACACAAAAAAACCATCAAAGAATCACGTTGAAGTTCGAACAATTCTAATAATGCTATCATTTTTGCTCTAGCCACGGAGGTACACTTCTCATAACATTCTTTAAAATTAACAATATTTTTGTACATAACTCTCTTCAACTGTGAAATCGCAGTGCACGATGTATAATTATAATTATACGAGAATGGAATCTCTTTTATCCACTCGTCTGATAAAACAATCGTAATTTATAGTTATAAAAAATAAATAAATAATATCTAATAGGTATTAATGATAATTATAGACTAAAAAATATACGTTATTTTTTTCTTTTGTTTTCTCGATATGATACTTTCTAATAATACTATCTTTGTGTTTTTATAACTTTTTAAACAGTATCGATCACACCATTATATTATTTTTCAGAAATACTCGAAAGTTTTTATTTGATTTATTCCTAAAGTATATTATATACCACATAGATTTAAGAAGTTATATAGTATGAATTATTGTTTAAGTTACGTAATTGCCAAACAATATTATGATGAAAATGAAAAATTGATATCTATAAATGATCTTTAACAGCTACCTATACTTATTTTCCGCAAAAGTATTGAAATAATTTATAATGTAATTAATCGTGCATAATATACATAAAAGTACTAGTAAATTGGGTGATTATTTTGATGAACGACATTAATTATTTCAAGATCTTTAAACATTTTTGAAAAAAAACTTTTTACATAATTTCTAATTAAAAAAACAACATTTTTTAAATATTTTTATCGTTATAAATATTGAAGTCTTTTACTTTTTTAAATGACAACATATAGATTTTTAATTTCGTATTCTGAAGCAGAATATTTTTCAGAGTATTTTGATTCACAAAAATTGAAATTCGGACGAGTGGTTTATGAATTATAAGTATTTTAAGTTTAGGTAAACAGACTAATACAGATCAAAATTTTATGGGGCGTCTTTGTATACCTTTCTACTTCACTCAGTTTTTTTTTTTTTTATCATTTATTTAAATATACACAACCTGTAAGTGTTGTTTTACAATAAGTGTATGTGATGTAGGTGACATGACTTGAGTGGCTGAAGATAAGAAGCCTCCCATTTGAGGCACTTGAGGTTATGATTTTAGGCTACGATTTTAATGTACTGACAAGAGAGAATGAAATTACAGAATTAAGGGGAGGTGGAGGTATATACAATTTTAGATTAGTAGATCACGACACCAAGTACGTTTAAGTCTCTCAACTAGACTTTAAATACTAATTAATTATAACTCATAAACTATTTGTCTAAATTTTAATTTTTATGTATCAAAATATTCCGAAAAATTTAAACTATATGTTATCATTTAAAAAAAAAAGTAAAAAACTCTTAAAATTATCACGATAAAAATTTTGATCTATTCGACTGGAAATTATGTAAACAAATTATTGCCAAAAACATTAATTTTGAAATAATGAATGTTTTTTGATTAAAGAATCTCCCTATATTATATAATATTTTAAAAGTAATTTACTTTTGTTTGTATGTACACGATAATTTAAAAAATGAAACGGAAATGTAGGTATAAAGTTAAATTTAAATTTTATTGTTTTTGTTGTCACTTACAGAGTTCAAAGTAAGTACTGAGAGTTTGTACCGAATTGGAAACGGTTTGTTTAGTGTCCGTTATTTTCACGAAACAGTATATTATGGTACGTGGAATTTTTACCGATGAAAGTATAATAAGTAAATAGTGTCTTTCTCGTTTATATGGATCGGAGTGATTGATTTGTTACACTTCTTCGATCACAATGCACTCTAATCGAGAGGTGTTTATTGATTGCACACTAATATATTACTTCAATAGCGATAAATGACAGGATCGGGTTTTCCGTAGTTGACGTCGGGTCGGTACAATATAATATCATACGTATATACCTATATTATACATACGTGTAATATTATAATTGGCTGTGTAAATGTATAATGTTACTATTACAGTACCTAACATAAGAATTTTTTTATAAAAAAATAAGCATATTATGGACACGTATGTTATAACGTAAAGTTAACAAACACTGAAACACGTATATATGTTTACACGGTGTAATCGTTATTTGTATTAGTTTTTTTTTTTCATCATATCTATTTAAATGTAAAACGAAGTATTATAAACACGTACGATAGGTAACATTGAGTAATAAATAATACGCAGTTAGGTTTTCGAGAAAATGTTAAAGATTGGTGTACAACGGTGGTCGATGGTTCCTCTATACTCTATAGTAAATATTTTGCTTAAACAATATTTGAAAAGGTATACGGAATACCTTACGTACGATTTTAGACTCCGGGTACTATTGTCTATTAAAATAATTTACGATTGGATTTTCTAAAAGGGATTTAAATTAAAATGGAATTATTCATATAAAAGATTTTATATTTTTTTTTTAATTTAACAATTAATTGAAAAAAAATCATAAAATTATTTAAATGCTTTGCCAAAAAACTATAACAGTTAAATACAATACTTCCCCTCATTTCTTCACTATGAACAAAAAATGGAAAAATGATCATCGTGAAGTCAATCAGGGAAGTATTTGGAATAACTATGTAAAGAAAAATCGTAAAAAAGTTTAATAGTGTCGTAAGAACATAGAAGCTTATTACATGGAAAAGAAACCTATTCTTTTATAGATAAATATAAGGATAAGGGGGGTTGTATAGGAAATTAATGAGTGACGTTTTCTGTTATACTGCCTACGACAAAATCCCGATATAATTTTACTACCAATAATCTAATTATTAGTATTTAATTAACAAAATACATATTACTTTTATTTCTTAATATTTTATTTAGTTATTTAATTATTTTTAGGACGTCGTTCAGTATAGCACAAATACGCAAAATAAACATGAAACAAAATCATACATAGATTTTAAAATATTGGATATCCCATTATTGTACACAAATTCAGCCTTATATTTTTCACATTTATCAATTAATAAAAATATCTTAATCAAGATTACATACCATTATTTAAGCTTTCACTATAAAATATTATATCCGCAATGATAATGTAAAATTTTTAGCCAGTTTCATTAGTTTTTCGACTTTCGAACAATCGCGTTTGACATTTAAAATAAAATTAATTCAATGCTTAAATTTTTTACGAATATTTATGGTAATAGTTCCATTTATTTTGACAACTATAACTTATGTTATTTTAGTACTAATAAAAGTTCAGGTGATATTGTTTCACGATGTGTGTAAAAAAAAAAATGTGGTAAAACAATTATTGCCAACTATAAAAAAAAACAGTTTTGATTCGCAACAATATAAAAATTCTTCAACACAATGAAAACAATAATGAACAAAATATAAGAACTGCAAAAAATAAGTATATCTATTAAACGTAAAGCTATTAAAAATGTATATGAAACCAATAAAAAAATTCGAAAAGAATTGTCAAGCATTTAAGACTCCCAAGTATGTTCATCAAGTATAAATGCACTTCGAAAATCCATGAATCAAAAACAACGCAAAAAAAACTTTACTTATCGCGCTCCGTCATCCATAATTGATGATATATAAAAAATGAATTGCTAGTATTGAAAATAAATCTAAAGAAAAATGAATTTACGTTTTTGAAGTGGACGAAGGGTTATAATTTGTGAAACAAATTTAGTGTTTCTCAACTACAATACAAAAACTCTTTTAATCAAAAGTTCATTCACATAATATTACCTAAAATATTTTTTTTCAGCAAAATACAATAGAGGTACATGGTTTAACATAATTTTGATATATTTATTATTCTATATATATTTGATTCTAATTAGAATTTCTTATAAATCTACAGTATTGTACTATTTTTGCGTGCGACATTGGGTAATGGAAAGCTTCGTATTTTTTACATATTCTGTAAATATTTATTTTTAAGTTAAAAGATGTTTGTCTTAACTATATCTAATTTAACTAAAATTACAGAAGTTCATTAAACTTAGGATAAAACAAAAACGTCCGTATTGCAGGGTTGTACATATAGTATTATTTCACACATATTTTAGATATTATAGACTTATGAAGCGTTAATTTCCTTTACAGCGAGTTACACAAATCATAATTGTTTTTTAAGTATATTAAAATAAAATTAAATAAAGCGCGTTACTTAGTTCAAAAAATTCGAAATCTCAGGATCTATCATAGGAATATATAATAATACATTAACTTTTAACAATTATATACTTTGATGTATCAATGACTTTCTAAATATTTGATTAGTTGGTAATTTCACCTGCAGGTATATTTAAACCAATAGCGTGGAATATTCATTATTTTATTATTCATCTTACCTGGAATACAAAAATATTTTTATATCCATGTCTGGACATTGATCCGTTCTTTTCATTACACATTGCCAATAATTTAAATTTAATACGTTCTGCATTAGGCACAATGACACTGAAAACAAAAAACAATAACGTATAATATTAATGATATGGGTATTTAATGCCGTATATAAAATGTATAGAGTATAAAATATTTGATGACTTAGAGATTGAAAAAAAATATCATATCGTGGGAAAATAATAATTTCAAAACAAGTTAGCTCTTTCTTAGCGCGTTAAAATTTTAGTTTCCTAACTATGTATTTATTTAATTATCAACTATTATAATGTGAACGACTTTAAAAAAATTTGTTTAACTTAACATTGGTGTAAAAAAGTTTAAAAGAATTAAAATGTAGTTTAAGTTGTTTACAATTGACATTCCATTTTTTAAGTTCTATTTAAGTACTCACTCATATTTTGATATTTTATAATACTAGCTAATTTGAATTATTTGTATTATATTTTATTAAATTACAAATACGTACATTTTGTTGATTTACTTAATCCATTTCTTATAGATCTTTTCCGTTGTTTTTTGTATAATTAATAAACCATAAATATTAATTTTGATTACCACAGAATCATAAACCTTAGATTACAATATTACATTAACACTTTTAGATAGTATACCCACTATCAAATTATTCGATCGACACACTGTCAAGACTTTAATAAGATATATTCGAATCACTCTCGATCTATAATGTATATTATTATGCGGACAACAGAAGCCATCAATACTTTTCTAAAGTAAAAAATCTATATGTTGTTCTAAAAATTCTGCTGATCTGTGGTTTTATGTACCGTACGTTTTACTACGATCACACTTTCTGCCGACACAACATAACCTAACCTAACCGTCTCCTAAAAAATTTTCAATACACAGATACAGGATGATTCACCAAGCATGTTTATCCTTATTTTTCTGTTAATAATAAATATAAAAGTTCTCTTTGACTCTTATGTATATATATTTTTTACAAGAAATTATTTAATTGATTATATATTTAAAAATGTCGACAGATACCTCGTATAAAATTTGTACGATTAGTTTCTCAGTTTTTAAATATCTTATACTAAATAAAATGGATTTACAAAAATACAAAATATATGAAATATTTGATTTAGTATTTATTATTTATTATACTTCGACCATTTTTATAAATTCTAAGTTAATGGATTAATACTAATTACTAGGTAATATTTAAATAAAATAGCTCTTATAAATCTCTCAAACCAATTATTATGAATATATTATTAACTAAATACAATTAAATAACTCAAAAATTACATGTTTGAATTTTGATCTCAATTTGTCAAAATGTTCATAAAAATTCTACTAAATAATTTACAGAGGACATAGAGGTGTTTTCATTTGAAAAACATAAGTTTGTATTATCGCAAGACACTAATATAAGATCCAATGAATTTTAAAATATTGTGTTTACAAAACTATACTAAAAAACTTCAAAAATTAGATTTTGAATAACTGGATTATTAAAAAAAAAAATTGATGAGCATTTTTGGTGAAATCACTATTTATAATCCACAATAGACGTACATCACATCGTACGTGATATAACGAGTTACAAAAAAAAAGAAAAACCACGTCTCGTTAAATATATAATAATCGCCTCTGTATATTGAAGTTACCTACTTATAATCCAATACTTACTTGTACCGCAGTTACAGAGTAGATTAAGTATAGATATAATATGATTCGAGACAGAACTCATTACACCCATAGAGAACTGTAATTGTACGACGAATTAGAGCGCGAATTTTGGAAACAACACAATTACCATCACGGCTTAAGGTTCACAAGCGTGATGAATTTATGTTAAGTGGGAACTATAAATAGCCTATAGTAGATAAATAATGTTTCGGGTATACAATATATAAAATTTCTAAAAATGAGTCTTAAAATTATTATTTTTATTCCCCTCAACAGTTTTTAATATCTTAAGTTATTTTGTTGATAATCATATAGATATGTTAAAATAAAGAAACATATAATTTTATAATAACTTTTATAAATTCTAATTTATTTGATTATTGATTGAGGTAGAGTTGAAAATGTTTCATAGGTAGAGGGTTAAACTAAATGATTTGAATTGTATCAACGTTTTTGGAAATATATTTTTTCACATAATTTAAAATGATAATATACGTTAAAATTTTTGAAAAAAATATCTAGTTTTTAATATTTTTTATTATGTTTGCAACTTTTTTGAATGACGGAATACGTTTTTAATTATATATTCCGAAACGAAATATTTTTCTGAGAATTTCAATATATAATATTTAAATTATATACTATAGTAGTTAGTTTTATACGTAGTTATAATTAAGGTGTGTGAAATGAAGTGTACAGGAAGGAGGGGTATCCTGTATCAAGATGTTAAACTACTACTCTTTATCTAAATATTAAAATTTACATATTAGTTATTACTAACTACTCGGTTAAAATTTTAGCATGCTTATTAAAAATTTCAGAAAAATATCCGTTTCAAAATATAAAATTAGAAACGTATAGGTACTATCATAAAAAAAAAATAAGTAAAAGGCTTAAAATATGATAACAATAAAAATGATAAAAATTAAAATTTGTTTTCAAGAATATTATTTAACAATGGTTTTAATTGAAGAGAAAAAAGATTGTGTAATTCTAAAGGTAAACACTACATTTTCTATGCAAAAAAACAAGTTAATGAAAAAAAAAAAGTAATTAAGTGAGTACCGCTCTGTTGTACATAAAGGTGGCGAATGGGTCACTATTATAGGTGTGTTAAACTTAAATGTAATGATATATTATTATAGATATACGAAAAATGATTTTAAATGAAGACAGTCTTATTATAACGTAAGGTTAAGTTAGCAGATATCACTAAGTATATTATTTTATGATATGTTTTTTAATATAGCTGTAAAAGTCATTTATTTTACTTTTTATATATAAGTAGGTTCAAAAAATGTTTTCCAAAAATATTACATTTATTATATTATTAGTATTTAATTATTACAGTAATATATTATATATTAACTTGTATAACTCAAAGTTTAATTACAACTTTCTGAAAATATTATAAAATAGTAAAAATAGATTCATAATATCTATAAATATATTTATTATTTTTAAATAAATTAATAATGTTATTACGTAAAATAAAATTCATGATAATATAAAATACATAGAAGTTTAAGTTCCCACGAATTGTTTTAAATAATTATAAAACAATTAACATATCGTTATTAAATTGTCTATAAAAAATTATTGACTTGATACATTTTTAGATTTAATGGTTTCAGCATAAATTACGTACAAAGAACCTTGCATTACATTTTCAAATCTTAGGTAGGTATCATAATAACAATATTTCTTATGAATTTCTAATTATAAAATAATTTGCTTATTTTCGCAATTTTTATAAATTTTTTCAAAATTATAACTTTAAACGCATTTAAAAATATGTTGCAACTATAGATTTTTAATATGAAGAGCTTTGGATTAAATTTTTAATAATTTTTACCCAGCAAATAATTATTAATCGAAATTTCTAAAAAAAAAAAAAAACTAAAATAAAATAAATTGAAAATCTCTTATGCTAAATAGGAAATAAATATCGATGATTTTATTGTCAATAAAAAGCAATAAAATGTTGAAGTCATTTGGTGAAAATTTAAAGTATCTGCGGTTATTCGTTTTGAGTTAGATTTGAAAAACAAAATCAATTTTATTGACAATTAGATTTGCATAAAAATCCCGATTTTTCTTCAATGTATTTTTTTTTCGTTTATAATTTTCTTTCAAGAATTTTACTTTTGATCTCCTTAACTAGATCCAATTTGCTTCCAGAAATTATCCTTATTTTTGAAAATTGAAGTATTTTCATTATCCCTAAAAGTATTAACAGACACTAAAAAAATACACATTGTAAAATCAATACATTTCATTGCTCTACTCAGGACTTAAAAAATATATACATATTTGTTTAAATACGTGTTCATATTTTCAAGAAAAAATGTATTTAATTTTTAAATAATTCACCCTAGTTATTACTAAAGTCCATTTACGTAATTCTATTTTGCATATAACATATAGAGACTAAGCTGTATATTTTCTTCAGATATTCCGGACTTAAACATATTTTTCATATATTTTAAATAGTGCGTTTTCTAACAGTGAGACTACACCGAAATGATCTTATTTATTATAAAAAAATTATAATTTTTGTTAAAATTATTTGTTAATTTCTTTTAATTTTATTTTAAATTATTGTTTTTTTTTAAATATTAAATTGTATTTTTGTCAATTTTTAGTGCATACATTGCTTATATTAGTTATATTCAGCAGTTTTAATTGCATTCATTTTGTAATACTGATGATTGTCTTATGTGTCATATAATAATGATGCGTCATATATTTTGCATTGAATATTATTATGTTTATAATATTATATTATATTACAGAATAAATGATAATATTTTTGTTTGTTTTTTTTTTTTTAATTGATCGGAAAAATGTGATGATTATACTATTGTACATGAACTCAATCTCTTTTAGTTGAGGGCCTTTCTTAAGTTCGTAAGACAATTTTTTGTTACTTTTTGTCATCAATTACTTTTATACATAAATAAACGATGACATCATTCGTTTTATGACGTAAATATTTTTACATGTCACTAAACAAAAATAATTTTTACTATTCCACGCAATTCTGTAAAAAGCATAATTACTTATATGTTCATGATCTAATATTTATTATTATGTTTTTACCCGACGACAAATAGCAAGGTAAACTGAAGAATTTTCACCGAAATATTTTAAATGTTTCTTAGTATCTCGTCGTCTATAATCGTCAGACACGTAATTTATTAAATAATATTGCCGGGACCATAACTGGTGTCTGCTATTGAGAAGCGAAAACTTAATGCATCCGTTCGGGATACGACGTTTATTCGAAATTAGCGGATCATAAATGATCAGCACGTTTTGTCAATGCAATATTTTATTATTGCAGACGAGACGGCTGCGTAATGTATAGCAAGTCCAGATCTAGACCGCAGTTC